CCCTGAGTCGTTGCTTGCAGGCCTGGGATCCCCTGTGTTGTAGTCCCGAAACCCTCAACCCTAAGCCCTGAAACCCTAAACCCTGTAGCAGATTGCATTTCATCTTCGCCACAATGTGCCGTAGACTCGATGTCGTGATCGAGGGTGTATTTAGGACTTAGGGTTTAAGGGTGCAGGGTCTACGGCCTCGATTAAGGAGATTCAACCCCGGGCGTAGTGCCCGCCCAGTCGCCACTTCGTGCCCTGACTTAGATCGTCGAGAGGAACCACGTCTTGACTAGGCTATTCTGTTCCGTTTTGGGGAGTGCTTGGTGCCGGCTAAATGCTTCTTGGGTTGCGCCACAGTCGATTTGCGTGTTTGCATTGCCGTGACCCCCATAGCATCAGAGTGCATACAGACCCTGTCCTGTTCTAGATGCCTAGACGTCCCGAGCACAGAATCTTTATAGCCGGAAAATCTAAACCCAGAGACCCTGGCTTCTGAACCCTAAGTCAGTAAACCCTAAACAAACCCTCAATGCCTGAAATGCTGAAAACCCAAACCCTGCAACCCTGAACCCTGAAAGCCCGCAAACTCCAAACCCCGAAACCCGCCTAAGTATCTACCAATCCTGTTTTGAGGTTCCTGATCAATTATATCTTACAGTATAACATACCCCAAAACGCTATTCTAATTAAAGGGTCCCTAGATTAACCGACAGCTTTCAGTTTTATGGCCACCGGCTCGACATGGGGTTTTGAGTTGGGGATGGGATTGAGGATGCCTGTTGGGCCTTGCTAAACCCTATAAGCCCTAAGCCCCGAGCCCTAAAACCCTAAACCCTAAGCCCCAAGCCCTAACCCTAAGCCCCAAGCAAGCCCTAAACCCTCTTGGCTTTGGAGTGTAACGGTTGATGATAGAAATCCTTCATTACCTTAAGGAGCCTAAACTATGGGAATTATGGTATATTCCTTATTATGGGTAATCCAGGATTTATATCATCAACAGAATTATGTTGCTCAAGAAGACTACAAGCCGGATCTAAAGATAACTGGAGATGCTAAGTCGCAAAAACCCGGCTAAACCTCAACCCTAAACCCAAACACCCTAAGACCCTGAACCTCCGACCCTGCATCCCTAAACCCTCCACGCTGAACCCTAAGCGCCTTCATCCTACACCATCCACTCAAAAGCCTAAACCTTCGCCCTACACCCTCCAAGCAAAATCCTTATACCCTGACCCTAGGTTTACATCCCCTTTGGCAACTTGGAGACCAGCAGAAAGCCATGGAAGCCCAGTTAGCTGCGCCTACATAGGAGTTTCCGAGAATGAGGGGTGCCTTATTTTGGTGTCCTTGCAATAAGGACCCTGCTATTTCCTGTACTTATTCGGGTCCCCTGTTTTCAGGAACTCTCACATGACTACAGTTTAGGGCTGAAGGTTTGGGACGGTAATTACCCATAGGCCCCATAGTAGTTCCTTTTGGGGACTACCATATAGGATTCTAAATATGAACACCAAAAAGGAACTACTATGGAGCCTATGGCGGGTATGGCTTCGGGATCCAGGTAGGCCTGGGGATACTTTGGGTTTGTCTTGCACGAATCAATTTCGGAGGCTTCAAATCCCAAAGGGTCCTAGGTACTGATATGGGGGATACTTCCCCAAATCGTAATAGTAATTCCTATAATAGAAACCCTACATTCTACCGTACAGGTACTGAGGACCCTGTGGGAATGGCCAACGTATGTAAGCTACCCGATCATCTTTCTTACCGAGGCTTTGGATGTTCATACAGTTGCCTGACTGATTACGATTAGTCTCCCTTAAGGTTTCCTGGTATAGCTGTAGTAGATTTAGTCGTCCATTACATGAGAATCGCACCTCAATGAAGGAAGTCCACAGCATGTCTGACCATATGTGTGTATATGTACACATACTAATAAGCAAATAGGTACGTACACAATTATTATAGCAATGTATATGTATAGATACAAGTACATATATACATATATGCATACATACATACATACATACATACACATACATACCACATAAGTATAAATATGGATGTCTATAAATCTAGATATGTTTATGTATATATATATCTATATGCATATGTATATATGTCTAAAACACACACAAGCAACCGGGCTTCTGGCTAAGCTCCGGCTGACCTGCAGCCTCTTGGCTGTGCTCTCACAGTGGAAATCTCATGGCACGGGATCATCTCAAAGATGGCACGCGAAAGACTTGTTCCTTGAGGGTTTAGGAAGCTTCATGGTTTAGGGAGCTTCATTGTTTAGGGTTTAGGGAGCTTGATGTTTTTTTTAGGAGGGTTTAGGGAGCTTCATGCTTTAGGGAGCTTCATGGTTTAGGGTTTAGGGAGCTTGATGTTTTTTTTAGGAGGGTTTAGGGAGCTTCATGGTTTTGGGTTTAGGGTTTAGGCGAAAGACTTGTGCCAGGACCTGTAGCAGTCGAAGATCCTAAACTCTGAGCCCTTAACCCTAAGCCCCTGAGCGCTATACCCTAAGCCCCTACAGACCCTGAACCCTAAAATGTTGTCCTCAGTCCGAGTCTGGGTTTCATGCACTAATTTATATACGTCTTCGACACAAAATCAGCCGGGCAACATCGGTTTAGGGTTTTTGGGGTTTAGGGTTCAGGTTTTCTGGACCCGAAACCATAAACTCCTCTTTCAAGTTGTACTCGTGATTTCATTTTGGGGCACATGATAGACTCCCCCTCGTTTTGAAGTTTTGAGAAGCTTCATTAGGTAGCGCACGAAAGGCTGCAGAAGGAGTTCTTGTCGTCAAACCCCTCCTATCCCAAGATGTGCGGTCGTTTGCAAGCACACTACAGGTTTACTGCGTGTTCGTGAGCGTAGTACAGGAACGCAAGAAACCAGCATATAGTCCATATGTAAGTGCTTCTCGTCAAACTAAACCCTAAACCCTAAACCTTAAATGCTGCAGGATTATATGGGTTAGTCATGGTTAGTGGCGTCTCGCCGAGCATACAACTATCTCCCCATGCATCGTTTAGGGTTTAAGGGTTTAGGGTGTAAGGGTTTTGGGCTTAGGACTGTTTCGATGGGAAGTTGCTTGTGTTTTAACGTGTGGATCCTAATATTACTACAGTAAGCCTTCTTCATACATTCCCTGTCTGCGCCTCACGTTTGTTTTGTGTCTCGTGTATCGTAAGCGGGGACAGTGGGGGCACAAACCCTGAACCCTAAACCGCGTCCCAAAGCCTTTGACCCTTTCCCATGGCGAAATTCCGATCAGCAGCAGCCCCACGTCTAGCTTATCTGTATGAGCTGGGATCAAAATTACTCCTACACCTCAGAAGGGTGTTCAGGGTTTGGAGTTTAAGGTGGTTTTGGGTTTGGGGTTTAGGGTCTAGTACCTCAGAACGGCCACAAATGTCTTCAATTTGCAGATTGTTGGGCTGAGGTGCGGCAGGAGTTGTGTAAATCAAAGGTCGCACAGGGCTGCGCACGCACGGAATGCCGATCTGGCCATGCCACACCCTTTCACCGCTGGGCACGTGAAAGAGCATGTCTTTCGCTGGAATATCCTGCTGCCGCAAGATCAGAGATGTACTGTCATAAGGACCCTCTCCGGTGGGTACTCCCAATACCCCCCAACATATGTACGTACCAGATAAGGGTTTCCTAAGGCTTATTTAATGAAGCATCGTCCCCTACCCGGAGCAGGGTTTCTTGTGCTACTGGGATATCAGCCGCAAACTCGCAGCTGCGATGTCAGCTTCGAGCTAGTGTTTTAAACCGCTCATTTCTGAAAACAGGTGGGGGGCTTGAGTCGTGTGTTCTATAGACGTTCAATTAGTTCCTATGTGATAGCTTCCCCAAAGTCCCCTCATACTTAGACCAGCATGGACTCTGATGATTAAGGCTTCTACGCCAAACATCCCTTAGTACCCTGTGTGGTGGCCGCTAGAAAGAACCCGAGGGTTTACGGGGCGGCATGGAAGTGTCGGGCAGGTTGGGGGACAGGTTGAATTCATGGCAAAACCCATGGTTTGATTGAGTCTTTCAGGCTTCACGGCGGCTCAGGGGGTGTACCAAAGCCTTGTACAAACCCGCCGCCCTAAGCCTAAATGATAGGGTTTAGGTTTTGGAGCAAAAAATGGGTAGATCTTAGAAGCTGCCCCCACCCTTTTAATAGTGACTATAAGGATTATATTGGGGCCCTATAATATTCCTATTATACCACTGTTACAGGGTGGGGGGCCCCTTGTAAGGTAGATCGCAGAAGTCCCGGAGCCCTTTCAGAGCTGCATTGGGAAGAGAAGTCTGGGGTTGGGGGTTTTCGGGTTTAGGGTTTAGGGTTTACCTGTAGTCTCCATGGTAGTTCCTTTTTGGGGTTACCTTATAGGATCCTAACTATACAGTTGGTTAAACCAACAAAAGGAACTACAATGGAGACTATAGGTAGGGTTTAGGGATGGCTGGAGCTATGTTGTTTGGTTTGCAGCTGCGTTCCTTCTAATCCTTGAACTCCCAACCACCACCCCCGAAACCACAAACAACCCACACCGCGATTCCGATTGGGTGCCCAGTGCTGCAACTGCTCCCGATGGAGCCGGGTAGTGGGTACCGCTAGCTTTAGCCTGGGTCGCCCGGCAGGTATTCTTCTATGCGTTTTCGGGTCAGATGAACTCCAGGAAAATAGAAATCTTGATCTAGGATGCCCAGTAGTACCCTTATTTCCGTTTTGTACTCCTAGGTTCCTTATAAAGTTTCCCAATGCCAAAAAGGAGCCTTTTGTATTCTTAGGCTACTGGGCATCCTACTGATTGTCCAAGCCACAAGCTACTAAACCCTCTTAACCCATAAACCCTCTTAGCCCATAAACCCTCTTACCCCACAAACCCTCTTAACCCGTAAACCCGCTAAACCCCTAAACCCCCTAAACCCCCAAACCCCTAAACTCCCTCAACCCCTAAACCCCTAGACCCAACTCCCAAGCCCCTAAACCCTGCACCCGGGAGCAGGAAGCTTGCGGTGCTGCTAGCGCTGCGGCAGCTGCATGCTTTCGTTCTTCGGCGCCAAGCGGAGGCCTCGCCGAATGAGAGAGCCTAGGATGCCCAGTAGTATCCTTATTCCCTTTTTGTAGTCCTAGGTTCCTTATAAAGTTACCCAATACCAAAAAGAGAGGCCTTTTTGTTCTTAGGTTACTGGGTATCCTAGGAGCGGTTTAGGGAAGTTGAGGGTTTAGGGACCATGGATTAGGTCTCAGGGCTTAGGGTTCCTTTAAAGGGGTCTATAAGGGTTACTGTAAAGGATCTATAACGGATCTATAGGGGGACTATTTAACCCTAGTGGAGTAGGTAACCTTTAACCTTTTTTGGGGTAGTTTCGTCCCTATATAACCTCTATATATCCAACAAGGTTAACCTTTAGTTCCCCATGATACCCGACAAGTAGGAGGGTTTACATGATTAGGGGCTTAGGGTTTAGGGACCATGGTTTAGGGTTCAGGTTTTTATTCACAGGGGCTTAGGGTTTAATTAGGGGCCATGGTTTAGGGTTTATAAGTGTTTTCATAGGGCCGTGGGTTGGGGTTCAGGATGTTTACTGCGTTTTAGGGCTTAAGGCTCATTGCTTCGGGTGAGGTACTGGGGCTGTAGCTGTAGTTAGTCACTGCAGCAGTTCTGCAAGTGCGTCATCTAGTGGTGCTTTCGGTTCCTAGCAAGACTCCCTGGACGGGCAGTTAACTGGCCTGCTAGGTTAACTAACACAGTTCACAGCTCCTTCTCCCAGACATGTGGAGATGAGTTCTGAATTGCATCGCTTGAACATCTTACCGTTCCTGGAACCGACACGGTGTAAAGTCCAGAAGAGTTGCAAAGCATCGGCGAGAATGCGTTCCATATTCCCCTAAGCGGAAGATCCCTCGACTAGGTGTTTACCAGCTGATGGGCCCACGGTTTGGGGCTTGCTGTTTTGTGGGCTCACTTAAAGGGTCATGGGACTTAGCAACTAGGATTCTAAATAAGGTAACTACACTTGTAATTCCTTATAGCCCCAAGGAAGGTACTCGTGACCTTACTTACTAAGTCCCCTGACCCTCCAAGTGGGTCATACCCTACTCTTTCTTAGGGTTCAGGGTTTGGGGTTTAGGACGGTTTTGTGGGTTTAGGTTTAGAGTCGATGGCTGTCTGGAAAGCTTTGACTGGCCACAGTCATTCATGAACGGCATCAACTGTATCTACACCCTCGCCATTTTCAGCTTCTCCAAGAGGGTCGGCATCTTCCGTACATGGCCTCCGTCACTGAAATCGCGACTCTCAAGGAGGTCGAGGCCCGCAGGACGACATGGCATGCACCGATTCAGCGGGGCAGATCCGGTGAGGTCCATGCAAAAGCTGCGTTGTTCACTATCTTGGCAGCTTCACCCGTTGCAAGAGCAGCTTGCAACTTTTCTCCAAATCTGCATACGCAGTATAGGGTCTCCAACATTATAGTAGTAATGCGCCCTTATCGTCCCGAGATAAGTAAGGTTCAAGTCACGAATCAATTGCACCGCATGCGTGTTGCAGAAGACACCAGGGTGAAATTCATCGCAGTGTTTCCACAGTTCCCAGCACCTTCGTCGCGGCCATTCTACATACTGCAGTCTGTCCCGAATTCCGTAACTCTTTCAAAAAGTAGGCTGCGGGTCCTTTAGTAACGAAGAGTACTGCTCCTAATTTGGAAGTGAGGCTAGACGAAACTCGAGCATGCACAAACTGCAGTGAACTACAGTGTTTGCATCACTCGGAAGAGCCTTTCCAAGTTCGGTCCCTGTTTAAGCCGAATGACTAGGTCTGCATAACCAGCAATAGTATTCCCCTTGTAGTCCATATATAGCTTTCAATTTTGCTATGGTATACGTAAGATAACCCCAAACACAGCTATTGACAAAACTAGGACGAAGACACTGAACAGCGCGCCAGAACGTCACATCGGCTTTGGCGCGCTGGCGGCGCTTTCGCGGCCGTGCGGTCTCTGTGTGGCTTCCCAGCGGTCTAGCGAGGCTTGCAGGTCCACGTTCAGAGTGTAGGGTCTATCCCTAAACCCTAAACCCTAAACCCTAAACCCTATAGGGTGTAGCGATGCCTGCGAGATGTTGATGCCGCTTGTGTTCTTGCTTAATTAAAGGTATCTAAGCGCTATAAATTTCGCCCGATATCTTAGCCCTATACAACCCTAAACCCCTAAACGCCCTAAACCCTAAATGCAGTGTTCTCAACGCCAGAGCCTCCGCATCGTCTGGAGAAGGTTCCTTCGGGAAGGTCAAATCCAGCGTAGGCTGCTGGTGGCTGGCGTTTAATATAGGGGCCTTAAATGATTAGACTAGGGTTTTGGAGTACATGATACGATCTCTATAAATAACAAAAGGAACCCCCCAAAAAGTATAGATTTGCTTCAGCTCGTACCTATAGTGTCCATTGTAGTTTCTTTTTGGGGTTTAACAGTTTTTGTCTTGAGGATCCTGTAATGTAACCCAAAAAAGAACTACAATGGAGACTATAGATAAACCCTAAACTCGTAAGCCTCAAAATCCATAAAACCTAAACCCCAGAATCAGAAGGATGCATTACTCCAGGGTTTACAGATCTTGGGAGGAACAGTACAGTGGAAACAAGTTGAGACTTGGTGGATACATTTTCTTGGGATAGCAAACCCTAAACCCTAAATGTAGCATTCAACAGGGTTAAGATTTGTGATCCATGCTTTAGTCTTTGGCATGAGTGGTACTAAGAAGCCTGGAGAAGAAAGGGTTTAGGGTTTGGGGTTTTAAATTTAGTTAGAGTCTAGGGGTTTGGGATGTTTGCCGAAGCCTTTCGCTACTACAGCCGCTATTGCGAATAATGTGGCTAGATCTAAATCACATTGTTGCTTCTCTTGCTGCTACGAAAATCCAACTGCCACATATCTCCATTAAGGTGTATGTCGTCACACTGGTACTGCAGATTTGCTCTTTCTGCACTGCTGCCACTCCTCGTGCGGTTATACTTCTTGCAGTCATTGCCAAGACCAATTAAGGCGACGGCTTCAGTTGGAACTCATACCATGATGTTGGTACCTTTCACGTCTACATTGGCAACATATTCTGCGACTGGTCCTTGCTACTGCTAACCCCTGTAACATCAGAGAACTGCCCCCAAAGCCCCAATAGCATCCTCAAGAGCCTTGTGGTTCGCAAGCCCCCTAAACCCTAAACCCTCAACCCTAAACCCTAAACCCTAAGCCCAAGGCCGCATCTGTCCGCAGTGAGTGGCATGACGCTGGGATGCTTGGCACGATGCGCGACGAGGCCAGATAACAATCATTGCTACGGTTGATGGTATAAATCCTGCATTACCTTAAGGACCCTACACTATGGGAATTATGGTACATTCCCTATTATGGGTAATGCAGGATTCATATCATCAACCGTAGTACTACCTTTTGCACTAACACGAATATAATCATCCTTTTTCCCTTTTACTCATGTTACTTTAAATCTGACTGTTACGAGTATCATGTTTAATGTTGTTGTCAGTTGTCATTATTGTTATTGAAACTGTTTTACTACCATTATTGTTGCCGTAGCATTACTATTGTTCTTCTTATCATAGGCTCCTTTGGGATCCTCGGGGTAGCTATCTCGAGCAATGTAATGAGCAAGATGTGACCTCGGAGCTAGCATGTTGCCGAGCACAAGCCGTTGAAACATCAGCAGCAAGGACAGCAAGAAGAGAGCGAAGAGCAAGCAGCTGATGCGCATGCCACATACTACTACAGAGAGACAGGATAAACTGGCATGACGAATCAGGTCAGGCTAGATCGGGCTCAGAACGCCCAGACAACAAGACTCGCGTGAGTATAGCAAGAGCAGTAAGAGCAATTCAGAGAACAACAGCAGCATTGTATCGGCCCTAAACCCTAAATTCCACACCCCCAGCATCTCTATACAGACCCTGAAACCCTAAACACTAAACTTAAACTTAAACGCAAAGGCTCTTTGAAAGGCTCCCGCTTAAAGGAGCCTCATAAACAACCCTGGACTTTAGCAACTTCGGCTCAGGATTCGATTTCAGATGTGAGCTGCGTCTTAGTCGGAGTACTGCCTCGGCACAAGAGAAATTTCGGGTTTGGGGGCTAATGTTGGGATTTAGGGTTTAGGGTTTGGGTCTAGGGGTTTAGGGTGTAGGGTTGAGGGTTTTATGTTGGGTTTAGGGTTTGGGGATAATCCTTTTGTCGGCATTAGTTGCTCCATTGTTGCTGTGAAACCAGCTACAACCATCCATCCCTGATAGAGTATACACATTAATCCGACTGGGATGGGTTGTGATTGTTGGATAGGGATGCTACACATAGTGGACACTAAGCTAGTTCGCTAAGGACAAGCAGGCTTCAAGTAGGAAGCAGCACAACAATGGAGAAGCTCTTATCTTCCAGGCCCACTGGCCCAGGAAAGGACAGCATGAAATCCTGCTTATCCGTTCATGTGTATGAGTTTGTGCTGTTGTATGCACTTAGGTATATGTCTGTCTCCATGTATGTATGTATGTATGTATGACTCGTACGTATGTACGTACATATGGGTAAGAAAGTATGTGCGTATTTATGTGTGTTTGTGGATACATAGCGTGAACCCTACACCTGATTTCGGTCTAGGCCAATACTTAAAGGGTCATGGAACTCAGTACATAGGGTAACTATACTTATAATTACTTATATCCCCAATTAGGGTACTTATAACTTATAACCTTACTTTCTAAGTCCCCTGATCCTCCAAGTAGAACTCAAATTCTAATCCGCTTCGAGATCCAGTCTTCGCTCTAGTTTGTAGCCTGAGGGAGCACCCAGAACGGAGAAAGGTTAAGCATATAACGGCCTTAATGATTTGAATAGGGTTTGGGGGTAAATTATACCATAATACAACGCTAGCAAGGAACCCCCAAATATAGTATATTGGTACTTATGTCGGCCCTTGTATTAAAGGTTTATGCGATCTGCATCGGAGAAAAGCCTGGCAGCTCTAAGGCAGTAGCGCCCTTCCCCCCCGGCATCTTTGACGCTGCCTGGACCCCACAAGTATGTAGAAGAATTAGTCGTTTGTAGGTGTTGGGCCAGTACTTTACCTACTTTGGGGCGTTTAGGTAGCACCTAAGGTCTCAGAAGTACCCGAAAGCCTGAACTTAAACGGCCTCGCCCCTGAAGCCTGAGCCCGAAACCTTGAGAATCCCTAAACCCTCAACCCCGAATCAAACCCGTAATCCGTCAACCCTACCCAAAGGCCCCAAAGTAGTTCCTTTTTGGGGCTCATATATAGAATCCTATAAGGTAGTCCCCAAAAGGAACTACTATGGGGCTTCCGGGTAAGCCCCCAAAACTCTAAACTCTGAACATTCGAGCCATGTGGGCCGTATCTCTAAACCTTGAACCCTAAACCCGAATCCTTGAATCCCTCAACGCTAGTTAACCGCGTGAACATTGGAGCCTTATTCTAGGCATGGATCCGGCAACATTCTCTATATAATGTAGAGCCCTAATTATCAAACAAAATTGGGGACTCTTGAAATCGACACTTGCTATAGAAGCTTAAACAGTTACCAAGACTATTCTTCTTCGCAGCTGAGTGGGACCAGTGCAGAAAGCGTCAATCCCTAGCTGAAACACCCTGCCATGTGACACGTTGCCACAAAACTTCACTGCCCTGCTGCCCTCCGCTCTTGAGAGCATGGAGGTGCGGGCCCAGGCAGCCGGATGAGTGTGCTCAAAGACAGCACCGCTCACTAGCTGCAGGCACCTCCTATACAGTAGATGATGCAAGCTCTCCCGCTTACGATCATTGACAGTGAGAACGGCAGCTAACTAACAATCTCACGACTTGGATTGGATCTCTTCAAGAAGGTTTTGGAGTTCACGCTCCATGGCGCCTTTCGGCGCCAGCCCATACTTCTCAATCCCACCCTGTAGCGATAAGGCAGCGAACAGCCCATCGACCACCTCTTGTAGCGCAGGTTGAGTGGCAACATACACTTTCATGTGTTTCTTGTCATACGTGGTAGCAACCCGGCAGTAAAGAACATCATGAACCAATGACTGCGGCGTTGTGGCACCCTTCATGTGAGCCAATGTGAGCTTCGATGGCTTCCTTCTGCTGGGGCGTGATGGCGGTTTCTACGGCATTCTGAATCAAAGCAGCCCAAACGTGAACATGAGGAGGTCCTTGATCATGATCTTTCCCTGCACTCTGGACTTGCTCATTGTATGCCTAGGATGCTGACTTTGCGGCCACAACGGCCGCTGCTGAACTCGGCACCAAGCAAGTGCGGAACGCGACTGGCTGAAGTGCACGTATGTCTGCTGCATGCTTCAGGTTCATCTTGGCCATCAGAGCAAGCTTCTTCAACACCAGCTGGTTGTCAACAGTGCCGCCCACTGCTGCACGCTTAGCAACTGGCAGCTGCGAGCGAGTGCTGGCAGCCCAAGTGTTCATGACGGGCTTAGCTGCGGCAAGTACTACCACAGGTACGTGTCTACTCCAAATGCTCAGCCAAATGACTTTGCAACTCATCCAATGTGCCACACACATGAGAGCACATGGGACACTCAAGCGAATCAGGAGAGGCAGGAGTTGTGTGGATTGCACTACCTCGTCCACTGCATGCCTGATGCAATAGCGATGCTTGCACGTGCCGCCTAGTAGACGGCATATTTGCAAAGACTCGCCTACAAAACAAGCATTGGTTTGTAACCACGATCTGTGATGCAACATCCGGCTGCCCATGCTCGCCCCCAAGCGTTTTGGCTTGATGGATGCGCAAAGCTCGCTGCGACAGGAAAGCACGGTCACAAACTGTGCCATCCGCATTGAGCAGAGAGCATACATGCTGATCCAGTACTTCGGGTTCTTCTTGTGTGTTTGAAGCTGGCGGGCTTTGATATCCTGGCGGAGGAATACAAACGGTAAGCGTCTGTCGTCGAAGCACCGAAACATCAACATACAGAAAGTCGTTGATGATATCCGCATTGAAGAACCGTAAGAGCTTGCCATCGATTTGATGAGAAATATGCGCAGAATCGCCATGCTCCCGCAACGAATTGTTACCAAGACTATTCCCTAGGGCTCCTTGTTAGAACTCTACTAGGAAGGAGCCCAAAAACCCTATTCTACTCATTAAGGCCCCTACATAAGCATCTCATGACCAGGTCTTGGAGTTCGCGGCGCTGGGAGCTCAACAATCTGGACGGCTTTGCAACCCGTTCAGGGTAGGTTTTCGGGGGTTGAGGTTTTAGCATGAAGCCCTTATAGCAACCTTTATAACAACCCTTTAAAGGAACGCTTGCTAGGGCTTATGTTTGTCCGAACAGTCCGTTTGCTACGATTCAGAAGCCATGCCAAGAAGTGGTGACAGCATGCATGCCTCCATGTGTTCTGTTGCCTGAAAGGTTCGTGCCCCAAGATCAAATCCTAAGCATGGCAGGCGAACACTATAGGGGCCTAAATAATTGCCAACACTATTTTGGGGGTTCCTTGTTATAACTATAGTATAATGGGTCCCAAAACCCTATTCTGAGAATTCAGGCCCCTATAGCACTTCGCGTCACTTCGTTGTGAAAGGTCAGCTGGCATCCTGAGCAAAGAAACGACGGCCAAGAGCCACAACGGCAGCCACCATTAATACTGGGCAATTTACAGCCCCCAATGTGAGACTCAGTCAAAACCGCATCAACGAAGACATGGGCACCGGAAGTCCGAAAGCTCTTTTGATTCTGTTGGTGATATAAACCCTGCCTTACCTTAAGGACCCTTAACTACGGGAGTTATGGTATATCCTTATTTTGGGTCATGCAGGATTTATATCATCAACTGACTCCGAAGACAGAAAACGAAAGAGATACTGAACGATTCTCGCTTCTCAGGGCGCCTGCCCCCGAGACCCTCCGAGGCCTTCTGATAAGAATTTCCGGTTTTGGGGCTTAGACTTGGGGGTTTAGGGTTGGGGGTTTAGGGGTTAGGGTTGGGGGTTTAGGGTTGGGGGTTTAGGGTTTGGGGCGTGAGTATCTCGAGTTCCTTGTCTCCCGAAGCCTTACCGAACTCTTTGGCCCAGTCTGAACGCACATCCTCCTCTTCTGAGTACCGTCGCCCCATCCGCAGTTTATAAAGCGTAGACAAATCCTGCAACCTGAAACCCGTAAGTGCTAAGCTCGTTTAGGGTTCAGGGTTTAATTAAGAGAAACACAAGGCAAGCTTTAAGCCCAACGCGTTAAACCACGAAAAGAGCACTGCCGAGGTCCACCAGCACTGATGATGCAACCATCCCGTAATCAGGAGTGACCCAAAGGGTGTCACGAGAAACATCGGTTTTGTAGTGATAGGGTGATGATCTGGACTTGATAGAGTGCTTGTCGGAATCATACATCTTGCGCAAACAGCTCACTTGCTTCCGGAAAGCTTTCTAAGGAATGTTGAAAACTTGGGCCGGCTTGATGCGAGAAGAAGCTTCGTGCCATTTGAGCGAAGTCCCGGGCGGCTCTACATGGGAGTTTCCGAAAATAAGGGGTACCACATTTTGGGGTCCTTATAATAGGGATCCTACTATTTAGGGTACTATCTTAGGGTCCCCTATTTTCGGAAACTCCCACATACAAGCGTAAAGCCAGCACATCCGATGCAGAAGATTCTGAAGAAGCTTGTGAAGGAGTTGAATGAAGTAGGGCTAGAAGTCGATGCAGCAGGGTCCACAGAGTTCACGGAGTTCATAGCCACCAAGAAGATCTGCAGAAGCATCAACTTACATGTACGTGAATATGTACATTCACATATATATATATATACACACACACACACATCATCTACATATGCATCTACATATACCTATACCTGCACATATGCCTATACCTACGCCTAAGCCTATACCTATACATAGACCTAGACATAGACATAGACATATATACGTATATACGTATATACATATATACATATATACATGTATACATATATACATATATACATATATACATATATACATATATACATATATACATATATACATATATACATATATACATATATATATACATATATACATATATACATATATACATATACATACATATATACATATACATATATACATATATACATATATACATATATACATATATACATATATACATATACATATATACATATATACATATATACATATATACATATATACATATATACATATATACATATATACATATATACATATATACATATATACATATATACATATATACATATATACATATATACATATATACATATACACATATACGCAAAAACATATATTTACATATACACATATATACATATACACATATACACTTGTACACATATACACATATACACATCTACGTATACATAGACGTATGCATATGCATATACGTATACATGTGCTGTTTATATATACACATAAAACATTGAATATGTATTCGTAGCTGGTACCCACATGTACGGACACTTATACTGTGAATGTTTTTTTCTGCCATTTAGAATATCTGATTGCAGCTATGATGCTTGTGTAGGACTTTGGGGCTCGTTCGGGAGGCTGTTGGGTTTAAGGTTTATAGCGAGTCCCAGAAAGCTCATGGATTGGGATGATTCGTGCTCGGATCCCCTGTACGTTATGGCATGCGGCGGATGATGACGTTCCAGCTTTCTGGCTTCTTTTTTGGGGTTAGGGAGTTTGGTGTTGCAGAGCGGAATCAAGCAAAGCAGCGGGGATGGCCTGGTTTCAGGGGCGTGGAAGGCTTCGAAAGCTGAATTCCTAGGCCCGAAAGCCCTAAGTCTCCAAACCCCTAAACCCTAGATTCCCTAGATCCAAAAGTCGTAGAGGCCTAAACCCTAAACAGCAGATTCTGAAGCTAAGACTTATGATCCTTTCAAACACCCAACGAGGGTAGATTCCTATGTTTGAATCCAACAACGTGGCCCAAGTCAACAACAAGTAACCACCACCGTACACCCTAAGCCTCCATCCCCAAAAACTGGAAACCCCAAACCGCAAAACCCGAAGCCTTGAACCCTAAACCCTAACCCCCTAAACCCTGAACTGTATCTTAAACCCCAAACCCCGAACCGCAGGGGGTGCCTGCATGGTGGAGAGCTGTTGTGCTTGGCCCCCAGTCTGTTCTCAGCAAACCGAGAGATGAGGGACGACTAGTGGACCTGACGGTTTAGGGGTTCCTGAGGTTTACGGCTTTAGGGTTTAGGGGTTTATCGGGTGTAGGGTGTGGTTTTCAGGATTGCGGGTTCAAGGTATAGAGTTTTGGATGTAGGGCTTGGTTGTTGAAGTCGCTAGCCCGTACTCTCGCGTGAGTTTGCTATTAGATTGCTTGGAGGCATATTTAGGTAGCCCCAAATCTACAGGCTTTGGCGTTTTGGAGCACAGTTTAAGCAGTGGATAGAGTTCATGGTTTAAGGGCAGGTTGTTCCTGCATATCTAATCCTGATGTCTGAACCGCACCATACCGATCATTCCCAACATGTTAGCCGTGACGATGCTGACGGCACCAAGCCCCTGCACGTTCATCTCTGCGTCTAAACACTGATTCCCATATAAGCTCTAAAACTCAAACCCTTGTGTTTGGGAGGTGGAAAAAGGCATTCAAAAAAACACAAAAGAACCCTAAACCCGAACAAGAACCTGAGCCCATCAATGAAAGTTTCCATCGCTATACCCTAAAATGCACCCCCAATCCCACAAAGAAACTCCCCAGAGACTCCAATATCCCTTCATTAAGGAATATACCTTAAATTATGGTAGGATCCATAATATGACTTAAGGCATATTCCCTAATTAAGGAATATTGGAGTCTCTGGGTCTCACGAAACCCTAAACCCTAAACCCCTAAACCCTAAACCCTAAAACCCTAAACCCCTAAACCCCTAAACCCTAAACCCTAAAGCCCTAAACCCTAAAACCCTAAACCCCTAAACCCTAAAACCCTAAACCCCTAAACCCTAAACCCTAAACTCTGAGGCGTCAGACCTTAGCGAAGGCCCTTGCGAGCAGACGAAGCGCGAGGTCGACTCCAGCGAGGAAAGAGCCAACATATGGGTGGTTGTCAAAATTTGGGTCCTTTTTTGGGTACCCTAACCTAGACCCTCCATCTACCCTCTATTAGGCCCTAAATGCCCCTTATTTGGGACCACATACCCCTATTTGAGGGTACAAGGAGGGTCCTGGAAACAATAGGTGCCATATTATAATAGAATTAGGGGTTTAGGCTTTAGGGTTTTAAGGTTTTAGGGCTTGGGGTCTAGGGTTTAGGGCTTTAGGGTTCAAGGGGGTACCCTAAATATTAGGTGCCGTATTATAACAGGGACTCAAAAAGGGACCCTAATTTTGACAACTACCCATATGGAAGCCTGAATACTCAGTAAAACTATTCCCGAGCGCTCCTTATTTCTTATACGTGTACTACAGTATACAGGCACTCAAGGATTTAATAACGGCTTTTTAGATTGCTAGAAGGTTTATACAGTACATGCTTTATAAGGGTAGTGCAGATGCCCGAAAAAGTTGTAATTCATGCCATTTCTCAAGGCTCTTTTTTACAACCTGTTAATATGCCTAACATACCCCAAAACGCCATTGTCATCGTTAAGGCTTCTGCATCGGAGACACGAGGTTTATAGTTTTAATCCGGAGAGCGCAGCTCCTAGATTCAAGTCCCAGACCCGCGACTTTGAACCCTGAGCCCTCCAGTCGAAACTCCCAAAAATTGGCTATGACCTTTCGAGTTTCAAGCTCGGAAGTTTATGAAGGAATGCAGCCCAGAACGGACGAGTTCGTATACACCTGAACCGTTGTACTTTAAATCTGAAGCCCTAAACCCCAAAATCCCAAAGTCCCTAGACCCTATGACCTTCTCTCGGGCTAGACGCCAGACAAGGCGCAGATTCAGATTCTGTATAATGCTCAGGTTTCCGTCTGGAACCGGAGTAGGGGTTTAGCATTAGCGGTTTTGGGTATAGGGTATTGAGTATAGGGTCTCGGATGTAGAATTAGACGATTGCAGGGTTTGAGGTTCAGTGATGCTTGCTTCGTTTTGATATCGTGGGCTACGTTCCTTGACAAGGGCACATTGACAGGAAAGCACAGTTGGACAGGAATATCGGTTGAGCATGGTCATCCTGTACATAGATCAACTGGTCTGGCTTGGCACATTTCTTGCAGTCGACGTCCGGTTGTGCTCATGACGGAGGCAGTTAGGGCCCAGGGTTTAGGGATTGGGTTTTGAGAAATGTTGCGTCGAATCCTGCCTTCCAGGAGTTAGCAGTTGCGTGGTCTTCTTTGGCCCTGCAAAATGGGCTGCTGTCCACTCAGGCCGGTAAGAGCGCGCTCTTAGCACTTGCTGCCTGGCCCGCTTAAACCCCTAGCCCCCTAACCCCTGCACATCTCATGTGTGAATCCGGGTGTCCCATCTTGCTTCCTCTGAACAGCGCCTTAGTCGATGCAAAGGTTCCATGCTTGGGGTGCATGGTTTGGGGTTGAGGGTATCAGCACGTCTTGAAGGCTTTGGGAGATGAAGGGGCACAGACTTCGCGTATTTGTAGTGAACCCCAGAAAGTTGGAACATGGCGCTGGGATTCCATATATTTACTTTGCCTGAAAGGGCATAAAGAGAAGGATGCTCCAACTTTCTGGCTTCTACCTTGTTTAAAGGCCCCTGAACCGCAAAGCCCTCTAAACCCGAAACCCTGAACGGCTTTGCCGGCAGTCGTGGACTAATATAGGGGCCTAAATAATTACCAATACTATTGTGGGGGTCCTTATTATAACTCTACTATAAAGGGCCCCAAAACCCTATTCTAATCATTAGGGCCCCTACATTACCCCAGCCGGTGCAGGCGCCCACATCTGGACACTCCTCCAATACATTTCCGACGAGTGCGGGTGAGGTCGGCCAGAGTTCGAAAAGGGGCCCTCCGAAACCTTTATAATCAGAACAATATTCTATCATCATAATCAGAGCATTTAGTAGGAACATGTAAATACAAGTAGTAGTAACTTTGGCAGGTTAACCTTAAACCAGAAACCCTAATCACCTAATTCCTCTTCTTGGGGTTGATCGCTTCCCCTAATATTGAAGCCCCCCTAAAAAAACTTCCGGCCCCCGGAATTTTGCGGTTGCGAGTCCACAATTGAAAGTTAAGTGAAACCATTAGGAGGGAGCTAGGATTGCATTGACTTTAAGCGTGCCAATACTACAGTAGCCAATATTACAGTAGTATTAAACCGAAACGGCCAGGGCTTAAGGTTTAGGGCTTATAGGGGTTTAGGGTTTAGGGCTTAGCGCTTTAGGTTTAGGGCTTAGGGCCTAGGGCTTCAGGTAATACTAAACCGAAAGGACCAGGACGTTAGGCTTTACTTTCAAGGGTTAAGGGCCGAAGGCTTATAAGGTTTAGGGCCTAGGGCTCCCTGGCTTAAGGCTGCGTGCGTGATTGCCGGTCGGTGTGGTAGCTTTGTCAATGTTTACCTACTTACCTCCTATCCGACCCATACCAGGATGCCCCAATCCCCTCTAGAATATTAAAACCTCCGCCGCGAAATCAGGTTTTGATATTAAGGGGGAGGGGGGGGTTCATATCGATGTAGGAACCTGATTGAGAATCCCTGGGCATATAACCCAAAAATACCAGGATTCATATAAGGAACCCTAATAAAGGCCCAAGGTTTCTGAATCAGGTTCCTATATTAGGGGGAAGGAATGACTAGCGACGGGATTCTCAGGAAATTCAGAGTTCAGGCCTATATACGGCTCGAGACACAAAGGCTTAAATGCCAGAGCCCTAAACCCCTACGCCCTACGCCCTCAACCCCCAACCCTAAACCCTAAACCCCAAACCCCTAAACCCTAAGCCCCTTGCTCGAGCGATCGGTGTAGGCTTAATATAGAACCCCCACTTGGAGGGGCAGGGGACTTAGTAAGCAGGTTATAGGTAGAGTTCTAAGTGCCTTAACGAGAGTTACTCCAATTATAACCCTACTTATAAACGACTTGCTAAGTCCCCTGGCCCTCCAAGTAAGCCTTATACCCTAAACCCTGAACCCTAAGCCCTAAACCCTAAGCCAGTCTGAGTTTATAGGGCCCTCATATTACTTGAGATGCTGATTCGGATCCCCATGCCGCCAGATCGAAGTTACAATGTGCGTTCTTGGAGGATACCGGGGACTTAGCAGGTACTTATAAGGGCTCTGTGGTTTAGGGGTTTAGGGTTTAGGTGTTTAGGGTTTAGGGTTTGAGGGTTTAGGGCTAAGGGTTCTAGAAGGGTGTATATAAGCGAGTTCCTAGAAGGCTTCGTGTAGGAGTTCCTGTAAAGGTTGCAAGAGGAGGATCAGGGGACTTAGTATGTAAGGGTTTCTATCAGGGTCCTACAAGGGTTCTCTAAGGAGGATCAGGTGACTTAGTAAGTAAGACTGTAAGTACCGTACTTGGGGTTACAACTATACAATTATAAGTAGAACTCATCGTTTCCTAGCCGGGAAAGTTGTACGTCGCAGCAGTAGCAGTAGCAGTCGTCGTCCTCGTGGTAGTAGCAGTAGCAGTAACGGTATAATGGTGCAGGCAGTGGCAATGGTAGGGTAGGGGTAGGAGCAGGAATCTTGGTTTTCTGCTATCTGAAAACTCAAATCCCGCAATAGAGCCCGACGCCTTCGGTTACCCTTGGGCCACCGGCGACAAATCCCAAAGCCAGCTTTTGAAGGCCCCGTTGGCCATCGGTATGGGCACGCAGCGGAGCAGGTACAACGAGGCTGGGACGTCAGCAACACCTGCGATCCATGGATAGTTCCGTCACAAGCCCGCTTGGGCTCCCCACACAAGCACGTGACTCTTGTAGATGTGTATATATGTAGATTCCCTGCACCTTAAAACCTATACTCCTACACCATCAACTTTTCATCGCCGAACTCCCGATATAGCCCTCTAGAACGACCATGTAGAATACGTGCTCATGGTGCCAGCCGTTCAAGCCAATTAAGAGATTTCTTGCCCATCGGGAAGGCCCCATCTGCTGTTGGCCTGGGCACACGGCGGAGTAGCTACACCGAGGCTGGCGAGAGCGACACTAAACACGAACACCTTACCTACTTATGTAGATCTTCCCAAGCAATGGCCGTCACCGACAGGTATCCGAACATTGAAACCCTTAACCCAGGGTTGTTTTTGTCAATCAGGGGTTTACGTGAACCCCCTGAAACCCTAACCCCTAAACTCCTGAACTTAAACCCTAAACGTGAATCCCCTAAACCTTAAACCCAAAACCACGAAACCCAAAGCCTTAAACCCTGGCCCTAAACCCTAAAACCAAGAAGCCCAGACTACATCTTATGCTTAAAGGCTCATGGGACTTAGCAATTAGGGTTATAAACAAGGTAACTATATTTGTAGTGTAGCACACACTTGTTTGTGCGAAGTGACAACTACATATCTCACCTTCACACCAAATCGGTCTGTGGATGTACTCGATCGATTCCTTCGAACTTATGTATGTACCGTGGCCATTTTGGCACAAGCTTCGAAAGCTTGAGTTTTGTTTCACCCACCCTCCTCATCCCGTTCATTCTTCGATTTTCCTCTGCTTCCAGTCTGCGAGGACCGCCTGGGAAACAGTCGGTCCCCCCTAGAAAACTCCGGTCACATTCCTGTACGGAATGATGAACCTCGATTCGACTTCAATGAAGATCGATCGATATGCAGACTTGCGCACCGTTGCGGAAGCAGGTGGAAAATGATCCGCCTGCACCAGGGATTTATGGTACATCGTGTGAGATCTTCGTTGTCATTACTTATAACCCCAATTAGGGGACTTATAACCTTATTTTCTAAGTCCCATGAGCCTTTAAGTATATCCGTGAACCCCCAAAACCTTGCAGCCCAAAGCTTCCAGCCGGCAGAGGGGTCCAGTCTAAGTTGAGAGGGTTCCTAGAGGTTGTGAGGGGTTCAGGGTTTTAGGGTTTTAATTTAAAATGTTTAAAGCTATAGGATTATAGGGTTTAGGGCTGTAGGTTATGGGTTTGAGGGTTAAGGGTTGAGGGCTTTGGTTTTAGGGTTTAGGGATTAGTGCTGGTGGTTTTCAGAGTTTCCTTGTTCCGGACTTCAGTGTTGTTGAGGATTTAAGGTTCAGGGTTTTGGGTCCCGCTCAGCTAGCCCATGAAGTGTTTGTTGGGTCCGGTTTGGGCTTGAGGGCTTGGGAGCCACATCGGGATCAGGGTCTAGGGTGGGTTTCGGGTTTGGGGTTGAGGTTATTGTTTAGACGCACTTCCCAGAGGACTTGAGCTAAGGGTCGCCATTCTGGGTTTCTCGGAATCTGAAACTATGACGTTTGTGGCGCTGGGGCCAGTGGACCGCTCTTGGGTCAAGCTTTACTTAAAAGGGTCATGGGACCTTGTAGTGGGTTATAAGCTACAAAAACCCTTCCCTCTAATACGGTTGATGATATAAATCTTGCATTTCCCATAATAAGGAATAATACCATAATTCCCATAGTTTAGGGTCCTTAAGGTAATGCAGGGTTTATAAATTTTCAACCGTATTAAACCCCCGCCCCCTCGTTTAAAACCACCCGGCCCCCGGACTGTCGCCGTTTCGGGCCCAGAGTTGAAGGTTAATTCAACACGTTCGGCGGGGGGGGGGGGGCCTAGAATTGGGAGTTTCCGAACATTAGGAGTACCTTAGTTTGGGCTCCTTATATTACGGATCCTACTATTTAGGGTACTATATTAGGGTCCCCTGTTTTCGGAAACTCCCAATTGTAGTAATCTTAAGAAAAGAGACTACAGCAGTACCAATCAAACCGCAAGGACCAAAGCTTTAGGGTTTAGGGGTTTGGGGCTCAGGGCTAAAGGTTTAGAGCTTCGGGCTTTAGGCCTCAAGGCTTAGGGCTTCGGCCTTTGGGGTTTAGGGATCAAGGTCTAGGGCTTGGGGTTTAACGGTTTTAGGGCTAGGCTGACCGTCTGCGCTACAGCCGGAACGGCTGCGTAGGACGTAGGAGACAGTCGCTGTTTACTTGTCTGACTGCCTGCTCAATACTGATTACTGTCAATCCGACTCATACCCGGATGCCCCGAACCCCCCTTAACATTCAAACAAAATACCGGAAATTATTTGTTGTACTAGGGGGAGGGGGGAGCGTGTTAACATTAGGGGGAAGGGATTCTGCTTGTATGTACGTTGACACTACATCCACTGGCCTGATCCGAAAGCTCGCGGGATCCTAACAATTGCCAAAGTGTAAAAGCTGGAATAATTTCAATGTGCTTCCTTGAGGTTCCTCACTATAGTTATGGTATAGTTGAAGTATGATATGCCCCGCAACCCTATTCCAATTATTAAGGCCCCAATGTATTAATTCGACTCCCTGGGATCTTTGCCCGGCCGTCTGCTGCCTCCACAGCCTTAGGGTCTGCAGTTGGGGTCTGGAGGTTGTGACTTGGGTTTGGGTTGGGATTGTGTCTCTACTTGTCGCACCCACACCTTCCAAAATCCGTTGATTGAGGAATGTACCTAAAATCATAGTAGGATCCCCTATATGATTCAAGGTATATTCATATTCCTTAATTGAGGGATTTCGGAAGGTCTGGGCGGGTCATTTTGTATCTTCGCTATACATGGGTGGTTGTCAAAATTAGGATACCTTTTTGGGTCCCCATTATAGTACGGCACCTAGTATTTAGGGTACCCAAAAAGGGACCATAATTTTGACAACCACCCACATGAGACTTCAACCTCGCAGGCCCCCTACGCTCTGGCCCTCGGCACGAGTGCACCGAGCTCCTTCGAGGCTTCTTCGGGTTCAAATTTACTGTTACTTCAAGACAGATGTAACACAGTCTATTATAATCTGGCGCATCCCTTGAGATTGGTTTTGTTGATGTACGCGCTGCTCCCGAGCTGGTTTAGAACCCGGCTTCTATGCTCGGTTCCCCAGTAGTTGCTCATGAAAACCAAATAGTAAGTAAAGCAGTACCCTTGTTATTAAGAGGCTAATTAAAACAGTGCAGTTTAATATACCAACTCTAAACCCCAAGACTGTCACTATCAGGGGGCTACTAATGCAACATGATACACAAACCCCAAACCCTAAAACCCGAAGCCCTCAACCCAAAACCCTTAAACCCTAAACCTCAAAGCGCTAAACCCTAATAAGCCCTCCTTATAAGGGCCCTACTCGGGAACCTGGCACCGGCAGCTCTGAAGCGAATTGTTTTGCCATTAGCACCACCTTGGGAGGCAGCGGCCTCCCTCGCAACTAGTCCGCGGGAGGCCCCTGGGGTTCTTGGGTGTTAGGGGACTTGGGTTTGGAGTACCATACTTAAGGTTTTAGGGTTTATAAGTTTCCGGGGTTTAGGCCTTTCAAGGCTCCTTGAGTGGTCTTAGGGTTTGAGTTATGGATTATCCTGGGTTTGGAGTACCATACTTGAATACTGTTTTTGGTAGCTGTTCCCTAAAGGAACCATTCTGAGATAAAAGTCTATACTCTCTACTCCCTGGTTACTTCAAAGTCCAGTTTATGTAGGGGTTCGGGTTTAGGGTTTTGAGGTTAAGGGGTTTGGGGTTTAGGGGCTTTGGGTTTTGGCTTTAGGGCTTTTGGGTTTAGGGGTTAGGGATTTAGGATTTGGGGTTTTCCATGGTGTATCCTAAACCCTAAACCCCAACCCCGGCTTAACTAAGCTCCAAACCCTACACCTTTCTAGCCCTAACCACAAGAGGGACGATCAGGGGATAATGTAGGGGACTTGGTAAGTAAATACCTACACTAATTTGGGGGTTCCTTGTTCATAATGATAGTATAGTGGGCGACCAAACCCCACATCAAGGCCCCCATATTACTGGCCTTACGGATGCTCCTGGGCTTAGAATTTTCTCATCTCCGGCCCTAGATGCTTAAGGCTCTCTGGTGATACGTATGAGACGGCAGAATAAATCATATCATAACATATAACAACACGTAATTAACAGCAGCTATAACATAATACAAGACAGCAGAATCAGAGCACACTATCGTGAAAAACAATGCGAACAACACGATTAATATAAGACTGTTAATAGCATGCTACACTCTTTCGTGAAGTCTCAGCCCTCTGAAGTGTCCATGAACCGTCCCGATTTTGGGGGCTCAGGTTCAGGGACATCAAACCTAAACCCTAAAAACTGAGGACCCAGGTTCAAGAGTCCCTGTGCGGCCTCGGCTGTACACCACAGCCCCTGTCCTCTAGACCCCAGTTCTAATTAGTTTAGAACCGGAGGCTGCAAAAAGCACCCTTACAGTCTTATAGTCTCTAGATGAGAAAATATAAAGAGTACAGCGCAATGAACCCTCACATACCGCCCTCATTGTCCTTACCCATGAAAATAAGTATAGCAGAATAAACCGCTAATGCACCTCTATGGTCCCTATATAAGTATAGCAAAAGCAGACCCTGAGCCCGAGTTATGTTTGTCAGCCCGGCTTCTAAGATGCAGGCTCCTCTGGCTTTAGGCTGCGGCACCATCAGCTCCTTTCACGAGGCAAAGCGTGCAAAAGGAGAGCCCAAGTGATTGGGGCTTGTTTGGGTGGGAACATTTGTATGTGTATATATATATATATATATACATACGCATAGACAGAGAGAGAGAGAGAGAGAGAGAGAGAGATATATATATATATATATATATATATGGTCAGGCGTCTGGTGTTCCCAGTATGGTCTGATAGGGGTGGGGGGGGGGGGGGGGGGGGGGGGCTGCGGACGCGTGACCATATATATATATATATATATATATATATATATATATATGTGATCCCGGTTCTCGGTTCACCGACCCCCCCCAATGGTATCCCCCCCCTCCCCAAGCCGAATCTGTGTGTGACTGCGCAAGCTTTTTCCACAGGAAACCCACACCACACCACACCACAGGGGGAGTGGGGTAGGGGTAGCCGGCCTAAGCAGACCCACTCCCGAACCACACCACACCACAGGGAGGGGGAAGCAACCCACAACCACACCACACCACAGGGGGGGAGGAGGAAGCATGGGGGGGAGGGAGGGGGGGGGGGGCCGGCCGAATCGGGATCATATATATATATATATATATATATATATGTGTGTGTGTGTGTGTGTGTGTATATGTAACTATATATATACACAGATACATACACATAGGGGTATACACATATGCTAAATTAACTACAGTACAACACGCGGTACATACGTAGGTGTACATCGCGAGGCAGCGACCTCCGTGGCAACTGGTCCGCGTGAGGCCTAGGGTAGTTTGTGTTTTACTGTTTAGGTGTTACGGTTTAGGGATTTAGGGTTTGGAGTTTTTCATGGTGTAACCTAAACCCTAAACCCTAACCACTTAAATAAGCTCTAAACCCTACACCTTTTTAGCCCAAACCAGAAGAGGGACGATAAGGGGATAATGCAGGGGCCTTAATAATTACCTACACTAATTCGGGGTTCCTTATTATAATTGTAGCATAGTGGGCCGCCAAACCCTATTCTATTTATTGAGGTCCCTAGATCATAGACCCTACAGATCCCTTATAGACCGCTAAAGGATCTCTGTAAAGGAGCGCTATTCTATCTATTAAGGCTCCGTTTTTATTTTCGTTGGCCTCACAGATCCTCCTGGGCTTCGAAATTTCACAGCTCCAGCCGCAGATGTTTACGACTCTCTGGTGATATCAGATGAGGCTTTAGGGTTTAGGGTTTAACTAAGACGGCAGAATAGATCATATCATAACATATACCAACACATAATTACACTAGTATTAACAAAGTATAAGACAGCAAAGCAAACTTCAGACAGCAGACCGGAACACATCACAACAAAGCAATAATACGGCAAAGACCTGTTATTGTAAGATACGGCAAGGAAAGATTAACGCAAGACACGTAATAATGTGCTGAATTCTTTCGTGAAGTCCCAGCCCTCTGAAGTGTCCATGTAATGTCCCGATTTGGGGGGTTCAGGTTTAGGGTTTCTGCAACTTCTTACTTTCAACCTAAACCCTAAAAACGGACCAAGGTTCATAGTGCCTGTGCGGCCTCGGCTGTACACCCCAGCCCCTGTATACCCCAGTTAGAATCTGCCGCGGTAGAGGCAAATATACCCTTATTGTCTTATGGTCCGTATATAATAACATATAGAAGCATGGCACCATGAGCCTTAACATACCCTCAGCACAATAAAGGGCCAATGCACCTCTATGGTCCCTATATGGTCACACGTGCATAAGTGTCCGCAGGGGTTTTCGGAAGGCGCGTGTTGTTAGAATGGATCTGGGCCCGCGCTTGCCAGCAATATTAAGCAGTGTTCATATAAGCTTGTTGAAGTGACTATGAAGGACATCCTGCCTTGAAACTTAGGGCGTTGCGGGCTTTCGATTGTCGCAGTCGGGTTTCAACTGGGACCGCCAAACAAAGCTGTAGAGGCACGTGAAGATGCGGGGATTGAGTCAGGTTTGTTGTGGATGTTAGTGGTCTTCCCCATCAGTGCTTCCTTTCACCTTTCTATTTGTGGTGCCATGGCAGCTTCTCCAAGCAACAACTGGAGCAGCAGCAGCAGCAGCATGACCGGACCTGGGACCACCAGCATGCCGCCAAGAGGCCCGACGATACCGCCATTGCAAACAATGCTCCTGTCCCAGCTCGAAGCCTTGCAGGATCTGGTGGAGGATCCGGCGCTTCTTACCCGGAGGGGTGCAAAGTTCCATGGGCCCCTGGACGTGGTGCCAAGCCATCACTGCGGAGTTAGTTGCAAAGAAAGTTGTTGGCATGAGAACGCAAGCAGACCCCCCCCCCCCTCCCCCCATCCCCCACACGCAAAGTCCTATCCTAGCACCGAAGCCGCAAAACCTGCAGAAAAGAGCGCGGCCAGATACGGACCCGTGTGGCCTTATATAAGTATAGTAAAGCAAACCCCTGAGCCCGAGTTATGTTCGTCAGCCCGGCTTCTAAGATGCAGGCTCCTCTGGCCTTGGGCTGCGGCACCATCAGCTCCTTTCACGAGGCGCCCTACAGGAGATTCGGAGTGATCGGGCCTGTTTGAATATGAACATGTGTTGTATATATATATATATATACACATCTATAATGTACATAAGTAGACATGAGTACACAAATATGCTAGCTTGTTTACAGTACAATATTTCTCCGGAACTCGCAATGCGGGGGAGCCCTGAGTCACTTAGAGCTCGACGGCTGGAGATTTGGGGAAGCAGTGTCACAGGCTTCAAACTTGAATGTGGGTGCCAACACACGACCCCGTAGGAATTTTTAGAAAGCTCCCTGTGGCTTTTCGAATGATCCGTGCAGGTGTCAACAGCTGGCGTTGCCGCTGCCCAAGCTGCTGACTGTCGAATCCCTGGCACAGCATTCGACGTGGCACAACATTCGCCGGTGAACTCTGTCCTGTCGGAGCCACTCCCGAGATAATGGATGCATTTTGCTCTGCATTGGTCGTGCACTGCTCTTGGCAGCTTTGGAGAGTAAGCCTAAGAACATCTGGTTCAGTTGGCATTATGACCGTCAACTTTTTGTCTGTACAGCTAGATGCTGTTGGTACTAGTTTAAGGATAAAAGGCATATAGCGTCATATACCTCGACCCTGTAGCAATAACCAGCCAAGATCTCGAGAACTCAAGCCCAACTAAGCGAGTGAGTCAGAAGCAAGGCTCACCCGTCGTTTTCTTCGTCCACTCTAGCCGTCCGCGAGGCTTCATGCGTTGTGGCGCATTGTTGGGCATTTTCAGAATTGCAGGGTTACGCTTCACCCGGACGTTCCCGGTTCAGGGCTTGGCGTGTGAGTCTTGCTGGTGCTGCTGCTGCTGCCGGTTCTGCTGCTGGTGCTGCTGGTGCTGCTGGTGCTGCTGCTGCTGCTGCTGCTGCTGCTGCTGCTGCGACGGCGATGATGTCTACGACAATGGTTACTTCTACTGCCACTGCCTGCTACTGCTACTGCTACTGCGACTACTTCGCTAACACGACAATGATTCAACTACTACCCATACTATACTACAACTACTACCACTGCGACCACTGCTACAAGTACTACTGTTACTACAAGTACTACCACCACCACCACGACCACGACCCAAACTACGACGACTACTACTACGACGACGACTACTACTACCACCACTACCATTACTACTACTACTACTACCACCACTACCACCACGACTAATACTACAACTACTACTACTACTACTACTACTACTACTACTACTACTACTACTACTACTACTACTACTACTACTACTACTACTACTCTTGCTGCTGCTGCTACTACTACTACTACTACTACTACCACTACTACTACTACTACTACTACTACTACTACAACTACTACTACTACTACTACTACTACTACTACTACTGCCACTACTACTACTACTACTACTACTACTACTACTACTACTACTACTACTACTACTACTACTACTACTACTACTGAGATGACGATAACTACTACTACTTCTACTACCACTAGTGCTACTACTCCTACTACTCCTACTACGACGACGACAACTGGCGACGATTTGCACCATGACGCTCCCTCGCAGAAGCACATATAGAAACCTAATCAATAATCCTTGGGTCTTTACCAGGGCTCTTTGTAACAGATGGATCCTGAAATTTTGGGTTGGTGGGACCAGGGTTAATTTAGTCAGGTTCCTGTATTGATACAGTCTAAAGGCTGAGGGTGGTACGCGTGTGGCACATCTCAATGCAACGGTCTAACGTCCATTTGGAGACGTCTCCTGCGCTTTGTGTTTGACATGCTGTACCATCTTGCTATCAGACCGAAATCTGGTGAATCGGCTGGTTTCTTTTGAAAACCATCGCGCCAGTCCTACCTAAGTCTAGGCGAGTTTAGCCAAGCATAAACCCTAAACCCCAGCAATGGCGACATCCTGGAGCAACATACCATAATGATTTTCACGCGGCCGCGCTCAGCGATGTAGGCCATGTTCGACATCTGTGATCATCAAGGTTAGGGACAACAGCAGCACACTAACATACATCATTGAGCCCGTATACCCCCTTATAGGGATGTTACCTTGGTCCTAAACCCAGGACCCTAACCCCCAAACCCAGGAGCACTCATCCGCAAACCCTGGAACATAGGCCCTAATCTCTAGACCCTATAATTCTTAACCTCTAACCCCTAATCCCTGAACCCTAATCCGTAAACCCTCATCCCTAACCTCTAACCTCTAGCCCCAAACCCCTAAACTCTAAGAGCTTCAGCGGATCTTCTGAGCAGGCACCTTCTGACTTTGGTATCGCTGCAGCGCCCTGTCAGACGCAGGTTCCGACTGCTGAGCTTTTATAAAGGGTTTAGAGAGAGAGGGTTTAGGGTTTAGGGTTTAGGGTAGGGTTTAGGGTTTAGGGTTTAGAGGGTTTAGCATCCTCGCCGACTCGCACAGCAAAGGAGCCTCCGCGCTGAAATTCTGCGGAACATAACTCTACCTAAAAGGCAAATCCGTAATCCTGAAGCCTAATGTACTGATAACAGACGTATAACAATGACCACTACCATCACAACAATGTTATACCGATGACTATAGTCTCCGCAGGATTCTTTTTCATTTTTGTTCATATAGCACAAGAAAATATCAAACATCTTATTTGTATTATGTTTCTAAGGGGGTATAGATAACAATACTGGTAAGAAGCAGAAGCAGGATCACAACCAAGAGAGAACCGGGAGGCAAGTCGGTCTCGAACTCCAAACTGCAATTCCGGCTTGACCTGATTCCTATTTCCCCGTGCTACAGGAGAGCCGAAGTGATTGGGCCTGCTTGACTGCTGTGGTATATACTTGTTGTGCTTAATACCGTCACCGACGATGCTCACTTCATGACGCCGCTGCACTGCTCTAGCTCAGATCGTTAAGCCTACGTTCTGCAACGCTGAGCTTTGCGCCACTGCCATGCGGAATGCATGTCTTCCGCACTGGACTGTAATATATCTTGATGTGCACAGTCTGGGTTGTGCGTACATGCAGCTGCTTCGTCAATGAGGCATTGCAATCACTGGACCGTGCTGTCCTTTGCTCTGCCATGCTAAAATTTACTCCGCCATCCAGCTTGCAAACTGCTCTAGTCGATAGTTTGGTGTCTGCTTTGCGAAGCTGCTGTTTGTGCAGTATGCCGCCTTTCTACCAGCTTCAGTCTTTCCGACACACTACAGCAGGCACGATCCGACTATCACTGTCGTTGGTTCGTAGCTCAGATATCCCGAGTCAGACGTATCTCGCATTTCTAGAGCCCGCGACATCGCAGAGTCGTGCTTGAGTGGAGTCACCAATGAGGGGGACATTCATCTCTCCCCCCCTGACTCCGGAACTTGCAACGCGAGGGCCCTTAGTCACTTATGGCTGGAGGTTCGGGAAAGCAGAGCACGGGCTTCAACCTTGAAATTGGGCGCCAAAAACGACCCCGGAGTAGCTTTTAGAAAGTTCCCCATGGCTTTGCCAAAGATCCGTGCAGGTGTCAACAGCTGGCGTTGCCGTTGCCCAAGCTGCTGATCGAATCCGTGGCACAGCATTCCCCGGTGAACTCTGTCCTGTCGGAGCCGCTTCCCTGGTAATGGATGCATTTTGCTTTGCATTGGTCGTGCAACGCTCTGGGCAGCTTTGGAGAGTAAGCCTAAGACAAGGACATCTTGGTCAGCAGGCATCATGACTTTCCTCAATATTGTTGTCTGTACAAACAGAGGCTGTTGTTTTAAGGATAAAAGGCATATAGCGTCATATACCTCGACCCTGTAGCAATAACCAGACAAGATCTCGACAACTCAAGCCCAACTAAGCGAGTGAGTCAGAAGCAAGGCTCACCCGTCGTTTTCTTCGTCCCCTCTAGCCGTCCGCGAGGCTTCATGCGTTGTGGCGCATTGTTGGGCATTTTCAGAATTGCAGGGTTACGCTTCACCCGGACGTTCCCGGTTCAGGGCTTGGCGTGTGAGTCTTGCTGGTGCTGCTGCTGCTGCCGGTTCTGCTGCTGGTGCTGCTGGTGCTGCTGGTGCTGCTGGTGCTGCTGGTGCTGCTGCTGCTGCTGCTGCTGCTGCTGCGACGGCGATGATGTCTACGACAATGGTTACTTCTACTGCCACTGCCTGCTACTGCTACTGCTACTGCGACTACTTCACTAACATGACAATGATTCAACTACTACCCATACTATACTACAACTACTACCACTGCTACCACTGCTACAAGTACTACTGTTACTACAAGTACTACCGCCACCACTGTCACCACGACCACAACCACAACCAAGACTACGACTACTACTACGGCGACAACTGCTACTGCTGCTGCTACTGCTACTGCTATTGCTACTGCTACTACAGTTGCTACTACCACTACTACTACTACTACTACTACTACTACTACTACTACTACTGCTACTACTACTACTACTACTACTACTACTACGACTACTACTACGACTACTACTATTATTATTACTACTACTACTACTACTACTACCACTACTGGCGACGATTTGTACCGCGACGCCCCCTCACAGAAGCACATACTGTGCACACCGGGCATATTGCGGCTTAGCGATGTGATTAAACCTAGACTCTAAGATCTTCGGCGGATCTTTCTGAGCAGGCGCCTTCGGACTTTGGTATCGCTGCAGCGCCCTGTCAGACGCAGGTCGCGACTGCTAGAGGGGTTTTAAGGGGTTTAGAGGGTTGTAAGGGGTTTAGAGGGTTTAGGGCCCAGGGTTTAGGGTTTAGTAGAGGTTTTAGAGGTTGGGGTTCAGGGTTTCGGGTTTTAGGGCTAAGGGCTCTAGGGTTTCGGGGATTAGGGTTGAGGGTTTTGGGGTTTTGGGCTTCGGTAGAAGATCGGATTCAGTGTTTGGGAGTTATATGGGGGTTGAGGGGGAGTTGTGCGTCATTCATTTGGAAGTTTCCATATTGTGGGGCAACAGCAAGAACGCCAGCAACAGCACGTGGATCATGATCTGTCTGTGCATTAACCAATCTAGCCGTTCACTTCCGGTCAGCTCATGACCATGTGCAGGAGCAACACCTGCACCATGCTCAGACAACCGGCCAACCAAAGCATACCTTCGACCACGGCACGAAATCCAGCGGCAGGAGTAATTGCCACATCAACATTTGAAACCACATTCCCACCGCCCGATTTGAAGCGTTGAGACACATAGGCCCGAGTGCTGTGCCAGTGAACGTAACCCCAAGCATTTCACAGCTTCAGCTGTCGATCCGGACGGTTTTAGCTACGGGCTGCGGGCTTGCTTGTTCAATTTCGGAGACAGCTCGCCCACTCGTACAGCAAGGAAGCCCTGTCCGCTGAAATTCTACAGCCGATATCTCTACTTAAAGGGCAAACCCGTAATCCTGAACCCTAATGTACTGATAACAGAAGTGAAGTATACCAATAATCATCATCATCACAACCATGTTACCAATTTTAATACTAGTATGAAGCAGAAGAAGATCAGAATCACAACCGAAACAGAGCCGGGAGGCAAGTCGGGTTCGAACTCCAGACTGCGATCCCGGCTTGATCTGATTCCTGTTTCTCCCCTCATATTGACATTGCAAGTCGTATGCTTTTGTGCGTTGAGTTGAGGCAGCCCGGACCCAAGCATCCCGGGAGGCCGTCGAAGAATATTTACGCGAGCAGGAAAGTCGGAAAGGGATCAACATCTTGTTGCATTCATTACCCTAAAACTCCATGTACCCATATCGTATATACCTAGGCCTTAAAGTACCTAAAAAGGGACCCCTTTAAGGCTTAAGTATCTTCTTTTAAGGTACATGGAGCCTTTGGGTTAGTATTACTTTTGTTTTGGGTTGCAGTTGTTCCTGTTACTGGTATTGTTACAATTGTTACCATTGGTATTATTGTTGCTTCCATTGGCACAATCTTAACGTTTAGGATTTGCCCTTGAGGTAGGGTCCCCAGAGGCCCCTAAACCCTGGGTTTGGAGTACCATACCATACTTGAATACTTTTGTTGGTACCTGTTCCTTAAAGGAACCATTAGGAGATAAAAGTCTATACTTTTTTCTCCCTGGTTACTTCAAAGTCCAGAAACCCTAATCCCTTAACCGTCACCCCCAAAGGCCCCAAGTTAGCCCCGAGCAGGCGGCTGCGCAGCCGGCCGTCACAATCGGCACTCGAATCCATCAGGCAGCTGTTAGGGTTTGGGGTTTAGGGTTTAGGCTTGGGATCAAGCCTGTTGTGGGGTCTTAGGGGTTTAGGGGTTAAGGTTTGCGGGTTTTGACTTTAGGGTCTGGGCTGTAATTCGAGTTAAGGGTCTGGTTCTAGCTTAATGACCTTGTAGGTGTGTAAAGTGCGCACCACGTTCCGATGATCATTCTGGTAGTGTAGAGGGCATGTGCGCATTGTTGTTCGTTTTGTGGTGTTCCTATGTAAGTCCGGGAAACCAGCTGCTCTGCTCATCACTGTGGCTTCTCCCCAATCTGCTCATCAGCATCTATCTGTGTACCCATCCGTTGACGTATTCATGTGATTATGCAGGACAGAAGCAGACTGCATGCACCATGCGTATGAACAACAAGTACTCTACGTATGTATGCATCCTCGGTGGTTGCTGTTGGGCAAAGTACTAGTAGTAGTAGTAGTAGTAGTAGTAGTAGTAGTAGTAGTAGTAGTAGTAGTAGTAGTAGTAGTAGTAGTAGTAGTAGTAGTAGTAGTAGTAGTAGTAGTAGTAGTAGTAGTAGTAGTAGTAGTAGTAGTAGTAGTAGTAGTAGTAGTAGTAGTAGTAGTAGTAGTAGTAGTAGTAGTAGTAGTAGTAGTAGTAGTAGTAGTAGTAGTAGTAGTAGTAGTAGTAGTAGTAGTAGTAGTAGTAGTAGTAGTAGTAGTAGTAGTAGTAGTAGTAGGAGTAGTAGTAGTAGTAGTAGTAGAAGTAGTGGTAGACCGATTTGTTACGGGCATCGGCGTGTGTATGTTGTGAGCACATGACAGGGGTACAATTTGTTGCGGGCATCGACGCGTGTCTGTTGGCGCTACCGGTCCCAGGCCCTAAGATGAGGACGTCAACATGGTTTCAATCTCAAACTGTCAATGCATTCAATCTTCAAACTTTTCCAACTTCCAACTTACAAACCTTCAAACTCCCAAGCTGTCAGGCTTTGAACATTTCAAACATTCGAACTCCACGTCTCTCCAAGTTTTCGAAGTTTGCAAGTTCGAAACCTTTTACCCCCTAAAGCTTGAAATTTGTCGAACTTTCCTACTTTGAGCTTTCGAGCTTTCAAACTTTCACACTCCCAGGGTTTCAATCTTTCAAACTCCAAGCTCTCAAACTTTCGAACTTGAGCCTGAGGGCAGCTCTGCGAGCGAGCCCCTACGCGTTCTCCAGCGGTCCTTCGCCTTGCTCCCTCGTGCATCGCGTGTTACCGCGGCTTCAAACTTCAGACGCCCCCACTTTCAAAGTCGAAAGTCTCAAACTTTCAAACGACAAACTCTTCACTCTCCAAGCTTTTCAAATGTCCAAACTCTCCAATCTCGTCCAACAATTAATACGTTCAAGCTCTCAAAAATTAGAGTTCGGAAAACCCCACTCGCGACACTTATCTGCATGCAAACCCTGCTGATCGGATTTTCGGGCCCAGGGTTAGTTCGGGTCTGCTCCTCAGGGCGTTCTTCGGGCCGGACCTTCTGCAGAACAAGAACACCCTGCTTACGCAAACCTCGGCCTCAACCTGGCGGGACCCCGAGGGACGTCGCTTCAAAAAGCCCGCCGACATGTCCTTCACCAGCTTCAGGACTTAACGCGCAGCCGTGCCTATCTTGTTCAGATTTCGAAGGATCTCAGAGTGGCAGCTGGAAATCCAGCGCGAGCACCTGTCAAGCGCTTCGTCGGAAGCCTCGGGCGGTTCGACTGGTGCCAGCCGTCTGTTTGAGCGAAGCCTTGAATGAGCAGCACGCGGTCGTCAAAATGGACATCGAGGGCTCCGAGCTTCAGCTTCTCTCCAGGCCTCGGGATTGGAAGAACACTCGATTGCTCATTTGTGAGTTTAGCGCCGGCCGGAGCCGCCACTTCGGCGTAGGCCCCTCGCCTTCGCACGAGTTCTAGATGTACTGCGAGCTGGCGGATTCACGCATTTGCACTTGGAAGTGGCGGGCGTGGAGACGCAGAGATTCTGGGCTCGCGAGCGGCTTGCTGCGAATCTCGATTTTATGTTATTTGCATACAGACGCAGGGACGTCGACAACGACCTCAGCCTCGCGGACTTGTGTGCGCCGCCCGAGATGGAGCGCCTCCTTCGCGACCTTCCCAGCAGGCTTCGTGCATTAGGTGGCTACCCAGAGGCCGCTAAAGCGCGGAAGAAGCGTGGCGCAAGCTCCTGTGCCCGGGCCGAGGTGTGGCAACAAAACGATGATTGCATGAAGATGTTGGGGCGTCATATCTTCGTTTGCGCGCGGACAAGTTCCAGGCCACCGGTTTCCCCTGGTCGCTGCTTCACGCCGGCGTGGTGGAATGTCGAAGTGCTGCAACGGCTTGGTGGGCTTGCGAGCTCTTCGCATGTTTACCTCGCGGTGCGCAGCGACAAGCCAGCACCCGGGCTACTGGGTGCAAGGCCGCAAGGCTGAGCGGAGTTGGGCTGCTGACAGTAGTTTGTCGTTCGTCTTTCTCGAGCGGTGCAAGTATGCATGTCCCTCTGTCTTGTATGGAGCCCAACTACCATCGCATCCGGTCAGGAGGCAGTGGAAAGCGTGCTGCCGGGCACTATGAAAGACTCGACGGGTAGCTGCTGGACGGATGCCAGGCATTTCTCTGGTTATCCGGTGGAGAGTGGGCAGCTGCAGAGTGGCGACAAGACCCTGCAGGCGTACAGGATCTCGCCGCCAGAGGAAAGCGAACATCCTTTTTCTGGCTCACAGCCTATTTCTGCTATGACATTTCCTTCTAACCGCGCTACCCCACGAGGCGACAGAGTTTGTGGCAAGCGACACGATTCAAGAGCTTTGGCAAAATCGCTTGCTGGCTCTACAGTCACGGCACCTTCCAAATCCTGGACACCGTGGGCTCCGAGGACAAAGTTTCTGCGGAAAGCTGTGCCGATTGACGGGCACCTTTGTGACGGGTGCGAGCTGCTTCTGACGACAGTCGCTGTTCAACAGGTGGACGCACTTCCATCAGCACAGGCCGTGCGATCACGTGGGACAACTTGCAGACGCTTCACGAAGCCATTTGGCAACGACGAGTCGGATTGCCTGGCCTGATGGTAAACAGGGCGCTCTGGAAGTGATGAGCCCTAAACCTTCAACCCTCAGAGGGTCGAAACCACAACCTTCCGTAAACCCTATAATCATAATCCATTAACCTGTCTGTGTCGCTATCTCGAGGCGGCCGCTAACCGGTTGCAAGGGTCCAGCACTAGGCCTCCCGTCTAATGCCAGCAGCCCTGAAACCTTGAATCCTGAAATGCCCAGCCCTCATAAACCAATAAACCGTAAACCCTAAACCTGAAGCCCTAAGGAACTAAACCCAAAGGATTCCAAGCTGGCAGGGTTTGTCCTTTCGAAGTTGGAGAAACGAAAGGAACCCACCCACAAAAACCCGAACAAGGGAAGCTTCAAAAGTATGCTGTCAGGGGAAGCCGTAAACCCTTAAAGCCCATACCCCAAACCCTTACACTACCCTTAACTCTAAGCCCTTAAACTTTTCAACCCTCAGACTGTGGGTATAGCAATGTAGTATACAAGCATAGGGTCTGACTTCACTGACTTCTAGAAGCGTCACAAAAATGTGGACAACATAGGGGCCTTGATGATTAGAATAGGGTTTTGGGGCCAATTTTACTATAATCATAATAAGCAGCCCCCCCAAATAGTACAGGTAATATTTAAGGCCCCTCTATCATAACGGTGTAGTAACGAAGCTTATGGTCTGAGTATGATAAGGGTTTTTATAATGTGGGATTATAACCATGTGGGAGTTTCAGAAAATTAGGGATACCTTATTGTGGGGCCCTTATAATGGGGATCCTTCTGTTTAAGTACTTTGTTATGAGGGTTCCTTATTTTCGGAAACTCCCACGTAATATAGAAGCACAAGGTGTGACTACGGCATTGGTTTCGATAATGCGGGTATAAAGGTGTAGTATAGAAGCATCAGGTCTGACTACGATATGGGTTTCTAGAATGTGGGTATAACGGTGTCGTATAGAAGCATAAGGTCTGACTATGACAAGATATGGCAAGGGTTTCTACATTTTTTTGGTAGAACGGAGTAGCGCACAAGCTTTAAGGGTGTCAGCTGTAAGGTTTATTGGGTTTCGAGTTTGGGGTAAACGGGCTCCTATTGCATAGGTATCAGCAGGTCTACTCTGAGGGCTGTCACCTGAATTACTCTACAAGTGTCGTTTATCGTTCAGATTAGACATGTCGGGCATCGTGCTTGTATTCTCGTACGACATGTCCTTCTCTTTGGATGCTTCTTAATTGCGCGGGGTCACCCCCCAGGGGTAAACATGTGTCTGCATTCGGGCTCATGGCCAAAGCCTCTGACGAACATCACAGAGGGCAATTTGTCCATATCGAGGCATGCCTGGACTGATAGAAATGTAGATATCTGTATAACCACGCATAGTGAGTCCATGGGTTCAGACGATCTTTGCTGGTCCTTTAGCCCGCTCGGCTGCAGGGCAGTACCATGGAGATTGTCTCCTGTTGTGGCGAGGGCCCGACGCAGGCTGCAGAGGCACCCCTGCAAGCCCATGCCGCGTAAAAGGTCTCGCAGGCTCATCTCATCTTTATCTCAATCTTGCCGACTCTTTCTCGCTTCGGTTCTCGCTCGCACTCTCGATCAGATATGCCCTCTCTCCCTCTTCGTCGCCCTAACCCCAAACCCTAAACCGGCTAATTACCCTAGTAAAGCTCGCAAGGCTCGGGGTTTGGGGCGGAAACCCCAACTAGGCCCTAGGACCCCTGGATTCAAGTTGGGATGCTTAGACTTCCGGGCTTACGGTTTAAAACTTTGGGCTGGAGACGACTGATCCAAGCTCCCGACAAGAGAGAAACATCCCACTATGGTCTCTCTCAAATTTCAGCTGGGTCCTGGGCCCTAACGAGAGTGTGTGTGTGTGTGTCTGTCTGTCTGTCTGTCTGTCTGTCTGTCTGTCTGTCTGTCTGCATGTATGTATGCATGTATGCATGCTTACATGTATATGTGTATATGTGTATGTCTGGATATATGTGGCCACCTCAGCAATGCAAAGGCACCCCTTCAGATTCACCCCAGGGTGCAAAACCGCTCAGACTTAAGCCCTTCGAGCCCATACCTTGCCGCAATTCCTTAGGGTTTATAAACGGTTTAGTTTACTTGTTTAGGGTTTAGTGTTTAGGGTTTCACCTTTGAGCCTTGTGTCTTGGACCTCGACGCCCTGAAAGCTTCAGCTTACCCAGAGGATCATATCCTGCCCTTGTTTGGGGCACCGAGTTTCATGGTTAGGATGTGATACATATATATATGTATATATATATGTACCTAAGACGGAGTAGGGCATGACCGTACTTGGAGTATCGGGCGACTTAATATAAGTACATGGTTTTAAGTACGTTTAAAGGAGTGAAAAGTAAGTATAGCCATGAGTCACTGTATTCGTAACCCTAGTTACGAAGTCCCATGACCCTTTCAGTGCACCTTGACCCAAGAGCGGTCCACAGGCCCCGGCACCACGAACAGATGGCATCGACCCCTAGTGCAACCCGCAACGTTACTCCCTGGGAAGTGCGTCTAAGCCTAAACCCTAAACCATCGGACCCCAAAATGGCCCCCAAGCCCCTCCAACTGGACCTGACGTCACAAACTTCATGCTTGTCGGGGCTGGGGGCTTAGTAGCTAAGCTAGTTGCTTTATAGAGAATAGGTACCCTGAAAGGAACCCTGATTGGAACCGAAGGCATCCTGTATCAAAATGCTGCTAAACTCTCAACAGCTCTGGAACCTACAGCCATCGACCCAGTATGCTGATAGATAACCTTAGAACGTCAGCCTTTGCGCCGTGAAGCCTTCAATCTTTGCCCGAAACTGCCGTGAACAAATCCTGCACCCTTCAATACCACAGCTCAACTTGCAAAACCCTAAACTCTGTACTTCAAAGCACATCAAACTTGTTTCAAAACCCGATACCTCAGCCGGCGTAATGTCCAAAGCCCGAACTCTCAAAGCCCTGGAAGATTGACCCCCCTGTAGGCACCAGTGGCGCCCTTGGCATGCACGGCGAGAACGGTGCGCCTGCCGGACAAAGTGGTCCTACAGGTTTTTACAGTCTGAAAAATCACGGCTGGTACTTCCTTTCAAACCCTATATAACTGTAGTATAGTACATCCCCAAACCTCGTTTTCATCAGACCTTTACGATACGTTGCAGAAGTTCATTGTGATTTTCAGGTCCAGGACACGGATTGAGTTGAATGAAATGCTCAAGGAGCATACTGAGGGGAACCCTGAAAAAAGAATCCTTAAAGGAGCCCTTAAAGCAACCTTTCAAGCAACCCTTAAAGGAAGCTTTGCAGGGGCCCGGAAACTGGGAGACATGAGGGCCTCACCAGGAGGAAGCATTCCCGGAATTTGGAGTTTAGGTTCAGGGACTGTCGTTGCAAGAGCGGTTGGAGTTAGATCCGTAGTAGATATCGGTATCTCCTTGACATGTATTTTGTAAATAAGCATATGCATGTGATGGTATACCGGTACAAACACTCACGCCCGGTGCATAGAGTTGTAGAACCCGTGGTCGCAGCCTGTGCTGCTTCCTACTTGACACTTCCAACGCGAATGACAGGAACCTCGACATCACCGGAAAGCGGACGTTATTTCAGGTTTGCATGTTCAGGCTGTATAAATGCAGTGATCATCCGTGCCTTGTAGAAAAGCTTCATTGGTTCATTGCACCCAAGCAAGAAGAAACCCTCAATGCCTGAACTCTAAACCTCGCATTGCAGTGGAACTTAGCGCTTGTGCCCACCTGCTCAGATGCCCCATGCTCTCACCAAGCGTGCCGGGAGCTTGAATCCATGGGCTTAGGGCTTAGGCGTAGAATTGGGATGTTTGTCCGCTTGCTGGTGCCTAGTCTCCTTCCAGCTGAGAGGTCGGGGTGGTTTCCAGGGGCTCGTGACCACGTGACGCCCTCCAACCCTAAACCCCCTAGAACCTCACCAGAAAAAACCCAGGACTCCAACCAGCCCGCAAAGGCTCCAGGTACGCACACCGAGGACCCTGAGCCTTGAATCATGAATCCCTAAAACCCGTGGACCCTTAGCCCTGAACCCTAAACAAACACTGAGATAGAGGTGATTATTCCGCGTCTGGATTGCAGCCCCAAGACCCGCGAGCCCAGAATTCATAGGCCAGATTCTGGTTCGTAGGTTGAATTTTACACTTTCTGGATCAGTTTACCAGCGAAATTTTCACTTTTTTGGGCGTGGGTATGGAAGAAGAGAGGAGAAGGGTTTCGGGATCAGGATTGAGGGTGTGTGGGATTTATGGAGTTAGGGATCACTGAGGTCGGGTATCCAGATAGGGATCCGAATCACTGCTTGTATTACACATACTTAAAGGATCATGGGACTTAGTAACTAGGGTTATAAACAAGGTAACTATACATGTAAGTACTAATCGCCCCAATTAGGCTACTTATAACCTTACTTAATCCTCCAAGTAGAAGCTGCCAACTAAACAAAGCTTGCGCCAAGACATTCGTGCTTCCAGGGCAGGTGTGGAGCAACAGCGTGCAACACAGGAGGCACAGCAGGCTTGGTAACCCTAAACCCCAAAGCTTAAGCCCTAAACGGCCCTAAAGCGGAAAGCCTGAACCCCACAGCCTAACGCCAAAACCCCAAAGCCTAAAGCTTAAACCCCAGAGCCTGAAGCCCAAAGTGTGCGTGTGCGGCATTGTCAGGCATCTGCTCTTCAAGCAGCTCCCGTGCAGACGGCCCATCCTCCAAGACAGGTGTCCCGGTCAAGCAGATGGGAGTTGGGGAGGGGGATGCCAAGTGTAGGAGTTGAGATAGGGACCTAATAATGAGATGCTTTTCTGATACTGTATGCTACATTCAATAAGGAGCAACCCGAAACCATAAAGTTATGTTACATGGCTTTAGGAATGTCGGATGAATGTTCGAAGTTCCTTTCCCCCAACACGAAAAGCCGCAGCATCCTGACGCCAAAGAATCGCACGCCCCAAAGCGTCAGTGTTTTGTGTTTAGGGCATCTGGAGTCAGAGTCGGGGGGAAGCTCACCCGACTATATACTATGTTTCTGAGATCATCTGGACCAGCAGCCCCAATAATTCAGATTCAGGAGACAGGCCCGCAGCTACCTATCAAATCAAAGGGAGACTCCCAAAACCTTTCCCTAGACTGTAGCCCCTGAACCCTTAATTTTAAACCCTTAACCCTTACTCCGAAACCCTTGCCCCTGAACCTGAAGAAGGAATCCCCACTTAAAGGATCACGGGACCTAGTAGTTGAGGTTATAAATCAGATAACTATACTTATAAATGCCTATAATCTTTATTAGGCTACTTATAGACTTATAGCCTTATAGCCTTACTTACCCAAGTCCCCTGACCCTCCAAGCAACCCAGTTCTCCAGCCTTTTCTATCATCCGACTGTCGGATCCTTTAGCCTGACTGGCTGTTCTCAGGGGAACTTAGAAATAGTTGTTTAATTTTTTGGGTTCTTGTAACCCCTAAGACAGAGCTATAATTACCATTTTTGCTTGGGGTCTAAGTGCAGTATCGTGTTAGGATGCCTTCTGAACTTAGGCTTGGGGTTCAGGGTTGCAGTGTTTGGGGTTTGGGGGATCGTTCGAAAGGCCAAGTCCCAAACCCGAAGCCCTGAGCCGCAGCCATAAACCCTTAAAGCTCTGAGCCCTGAACCCTAAACCCCCCTGCAAGCCCTTAGTCACAATCCCTAAATCTGAAACTGTAAAGCCAAAACCCAAAGCCCTTAGCCAAGAACCCTAAACCCTAAACCCTAATGACTCCATCATCCTGCAGGAGGGTGCGAGGTGGGATGTGCCGCACTTGGAGCTGCAGTGCAGTCTGATCGCCCTGTTCTTCCTCCAAGGGTCCAAAGGACCCACTAATTAGGTACTCGGTTCTAGGATAGTAGTTACGTAGGTTAGGATTTGGGAAAGTATATGATTATTAGGTACTTGGACCCTTGGGGTTCATGCACACTGAACAGCAGCAGCACATGCGGTGTAGAACACACCGCAACTGGGCAGACACTACTTTAAACATCGCAAAGTCATGAGTGCATACATGCAGACCATGGTGCAGCAAGTATGCACGCGCAGCTTGCGACCTTGCAGCCGCTGGCTCCTGCCAAGCCCGACAAAAACACGTTTGGGTGTCAGCAGCGCTCATGTTCTGTCGGCACATGCTCGACATAGGGAGGTCTATACAAGTCCACGGTTTAGGGAATTACGATGTATCATTAAGTGCAAGGACTCTGAAACTAAAGCTGCACACAAAGCTACTCCTCAAGCTATAGAGACAATCATTGATTTCGCATGGCGTCGGGCAGTGCGAAGGCCCACCTTTGCTACACATTATCGGGGGTTGCTACTTATAACTACAGTACAGTAAACCCCATAGAGTTGGAAACCAGATTCAGGCCAACAAGTGCTGGGATTCCTTATACATTACTCTTAAGGATTGAGGCTATTGGGTTTCCAACCTTTGGGCTTCTACAGTAGAGTAGGGTTCAAAACCCTATTCTACCCCTTTACTAGACATGGGTTTGGGTTCCAACGGGAGTGCGCAGCATTTGCCTTTTTCTTGACTTTCCTTTTGTTTTCTACAGATCCAGGAAAGGAAACAGAAGACCGATGCATTCTTAAAAGAGCACCAATGTACTGACTCGTAGTACACTGTAATCACGCCAAACAGCAGTGTCATGTTCATCCATGTTTTGTTCGAAAACAGCAACGACCTTGCTGTCCTTCCACTAGCAGGCCTTGTTTCCATACGCATGACAATCATGCCAACAGTGATGGTAGCACATGACAGTTTCCTGACATGCGGGGTACTAGCACTAGTACTAGTCCTTGTCATACTGCTAGTGCTAGTACTCGTACCAGTACTTGTACTAGTACCAGTACTGGTACTGGTACTGGTACTAGTACTGGTACTGGTACTGGTACTAGTACTAGTACTAGTACTAGTACTAGTACTAGTACTAGTACCAGTACTAGTACTAGTACTAGTACTAGTGCTACTACTGCTACTACTACTACTACTACTACTGCTACTACTTACTACTACTACCACTACCACTACCACTACCACTACTACTACTACTACTACTACTACTACTACGACTACGACTACGCCTACGACTACGACTACGACTACGACGACGACGACGACTACTACTACAACTACTACTACAACTACTACTACACTACTACACTACTACACTACTACTACAACAACTAGTACTACAACTACTACAACTGCTACTACACAACTACAGCTACAACCACCTTTACGACTACAACTACAACAATAACTACTACTGCTACTGCTACGACTACTGCTATTACTGCTTCTACTACTACATAGACATAGACATCCATTATCAGCATCATGACCACTACCGCAAGCACGACATGACCACTACTGTTACTGCCATTGCCGAAAGTCAACGCCTTCAAACCAAAGCAAGCGGGCCGTTTTGCTAGCACGATACATTGCTGCTAGGTTTCGCGGTTTCGCATTGTCATCAGTTCCAACTTGGCCACTCCATGACGGTCACATCCTCAGCCTAGACAAACCCAAACTGTGAAAGCACGGATTCCATATCCAAGGCCGACCCTAAGTCCCACTGTGCTTCTTGTCATTGATTGTCGCGTCTAGGACCCTGCAGCTGCGGCGCTCGCAGCACATTCAGCAGAGGCTCCAGCAAGAACAGCCTCAACATGGGTGGGGGGGGGTTCGAAAAAACTAGTAGGAATGTACCCTCATAGTGCCTATATACTAGTGCTTATAACAGCCCCCAAAACCGTACTCTGATTACTAAAGGTCGCGATAATGGAGTCGGGCTTTAGGGCTTCGAGACTGGAAGTTGTTTGGTGCTAGGTTTGTAGGTGTTCCAACACTGAATGCCTCTGGGGTTGCAACTGCTCAGGGTTTACGGGTTTAGGGGGTTTAGGGTTTAGGGTTTAGGGTTTAGGGGTTTAGGGTTTAGGGTTTAGGGGTTTAGGGTTTAGAGTTTAGGGTTTAGGGTTTAGGGCTCCCCCCGGGTCTCCCAAACCCTGGAAAACACCATACTCTACCGCGAAAGAGAACATACTGCTCTCAGACTCGGCCTCGCGTAGTGTTGGCAGGATGCATCCTGCTGCTTCTTAAAGGATCATGGGGTTTGGTACCTATACAAAGTTATGAATACGGTAAGCAGACTTTTAATTACCTTCAGTTTAACCCCAGTTGAGGTACTTTCTTATTAGTGCTCCGATGAGAGCGCAGCTTCGAAAGCCTCGCTTGACTCTTTGTTTGTGAGTCGGAAATGGGAGTGCAGAGCGTCGGGACGGTTCGGACCTGACACGGTCATTTGGCCTTTGGAGGAATTGGGAGTTTCCAAAACTAGGCGACCCTAGTATAGTACCCTAAATAGTAGGGTCCTTATTATAAGGACCCCAAAATAGGGCACTCCCAATTTTTCGGAAACTCCCAATTCCTAAGCCCCCTTTCTCGCCGGCATCAGAGCCCAACGCTGATCATAGCAGCGTGGGAATCGACTGTTCCTGGCCGGATATGATGCCAAAGAGGGCCATGACATGTAAGTTTCCATGGGAACAGCAGGTGTATGGTATGGTCTCTCGGTGTTGGCGATTTCGTCCGCCCAGCGCCGCAAAATTGAAAAAACTAGGGCATAACTCCTCAAGACCTTATCGGTGAGTCTCAACCATTAGGCTAGAGGTTTCTATTCTTGGTCAATTTCAGGGAGTCTTGCTTCACAGAGTCCTGCTTCTCAGACTGACTAATTACGCAAAGACCCATTATGGCAAGACTAGCCAGGTTTGAAAGCGCACAGGCTCCCAGGAAACGCCCAAGTTTAGCCACATTGTTGCTAAGTTGTTGTGCTTTTGCGCCGGCGTGTCTTGTGCTGCCAGGAGGTGGATGCCCTGGTGCGGCGCATTATCGGGGAGGCCGACCTTCGTGAACGGATGCAGAACCGAAGCATTCTATACCCTATACCCCAAATCCTACACCCTTAACCCTAAACTCTAAACAATGTGACTCTGCCATAAAGATCGGCAACCACTGTTTAATCAACGTATACAGGACGTAATAACACAGTGCAATATAGAGTGGACATTTGCAACATAGTACATTAGCATCCAGAGTAGACCGTCAGTTCGTGTGAGTGATTTTTTCACAATAATGTTGTGTGATGTTGTGTAAAGTTGTGCAAGACCGTTTACAGTCTTGCAGATGAGGCAGGAATCTGGAAGATACACAGAGCAGTGCAGTTGAATGTGACGTGATGCAGTTTACGGTAGTTCAATTCTGCTTTAGGTACGCTGTGGCAGAACGGTCGACAGGCAAATGGTGCACTACCCTCTGCTATAGTCCCATTGATATCAGGTACCATTGTAAGTAGCATTGTGGAAGCAGCCATCGCTTCCTGCCGAAGGTGGGTCAATGTGCTGCGCCAAAGCACTTCACTTAAGCAATGTGTATCAATGTGTCATGTTGGTGTCTGAGGTACGACTTTACCTTTTGCGGTAAAGTATTCCGGTCAGTAAATTTGAGCATGCAACACGTGCTGCAGCCCTCTCTGCTGTTCTTTGTGTTGTCCTTAGCTTGAATGCTCATGTCATGCAAGCATGTGTTTCAGCACACCCTCATATTTGGTTGCAACATAAGTTTGGTCGCTTATTCATTTTGGGGCAGGTTCTGTGTGACGAGCGCTTCGTCCCAGAAGCCTGCGATTTGTGGCTGCTCGTCGGCAGTCGGCACGCAGGCAGCCAATTCAAATCAGAGACGGCTACCAAGCAGGATGACCGGTTGCAGTTTCGGATTTCAGAGGGAATAACCCTAAACCCTACACAGCATATCGTGTTGCAGTCTGCAACTTGCAGGACCCCTGTGCTACACACTACTGCTGCAATCGCCGCATCGCCCCTAAACCCAAGATCCTAAGCCTTTTCGAGCATCTACAATTCCTTTCGGTTCCTGATTGTGATTCAACTCTAACATAATCCCTTGAAAACAAGCTGTTCTAACTGTCAAGGCCCTTGTATTACACGAATCTCACGGTGCAATTTGATCCCTTCTCGGCTGTTGAGATAGGAAATGTAAACCCCCGCCACATGACTGACCCCCGTTTTCTGAACGCTACGTTATGCAACAAGTGTTGGTTGCTGATATGGCGAGTAGTATGATGGCATAGGTAGGCCCGATCGAAACGAAGCACTTACTCGAACGAAAGCTCTCTACCGTATCCGAGGGTTTGGGATATCACTTCCTGAGTTGTTGGGGTTTGCGATTTTTCAGCCTCTCATCATGCGGAAAGTGAAGCCTCTCAACATTATAGCCATGAACCCCGAGCCAGCCCCCGCAATCCGAGGTGCGATCAGATCTTGGAGAGGAGTTTGAAAGAGATCTCCTCACTAGGCTTGCCTTCCGGCATGGGGATTTTGGGGTTGTTGGTGCGGTTTGTGGTTGTGTGTTAAGGTTTTAAACTTGCCTGAACCTGCAACTAAGTCGTTGGTAAAATCGTGCATGAGCCAAGGGGCTTCGAGAATTCAGGATTGACACTCTATATGGGCGTTTCCGAAGATAGGGGACCCTAAGATAGTACCCTGAATAGTAGGATCCTTAGCATAAGGAGCCCCAAAATAAGGTACCACGGGCCTGCAGAAGCCAGTCCACAGCAGACGACCTGAAGCCCGAAACTCCTCACCCTGCGGTGAACCTGATCTCCAAGGAAGCGGCTTGCCCGTAAACCCCCAACATCTAAGCCCATTTTTGGCATACCCTGTACTGTAAGCCCTCACCCAGGGCAACCCCCAACCAAGTCCAAGAGTCACCAGGACGAGGACGCTGTCAGATTCAAGTGCAGCCTACCGGATCCTGAGGGTTCTTCTCCAGACCAAAAGCCCGTAAATCCCAGGCCCCGAACTCTAAGAGGAAGGGGATCTTAGAGCGCAGGACTCAAACACCTGAACCCAAAACCCGGACGCTAAACCCAAAGCCCTGCCCGGCTTCAGGCCGACCGTTCAAGTACATCGCCACCTGCGTCCTGGCCCCAGGGTTTGGCTTAGGTCAGGGTACTCGGATTTGAACTGTTGAGTTCTATGCCGAACCCTCAGCCCTGAGGTCCCCGAATATGTATTCAGGACTTACATGGTACCTCTCCTTAACCCTAAACTCTACATAAACGCCCTTCTTGAACCTGCTGGCTGCTCGCAGTCACGCAGGTCCCTGTGTGACTCGACGTCCACAGGGGCACGTCGTACCCAGAGACTCCAACACCCTGAAATGAAGGACGATGCATTAAATATTATATTAAGGCTCCTAATGTAAAAAACCTTGAAATGAAGGACTATACATATTAAATCCTATATTAAGGTTCCTGTTAATTAGAGTTTAAGGTGGATTCCTTCATTGTGGGGTTTTGGTGTCTCTGGGAAATAGCAACAGGAAGTCGAAGGCTGGATAAGTCGGATAAGTCCTAGGATTTCTGTTTGCCCGCAAGGCCCAAGTACCCAAAGAGTAGGGCTTTGGGATGCAGAGATATCTATATATATATATATATATATATATATATATATTTGTTTTTTCTGAGTGGTCTTTGGCACCGAAACACCCCCAATGTCGGAGTGCTCGGGCCCTGACGGTTGGTGTTTGGCCCGGATCTTCAGCTGCACAAGGTCATCTCCAAGCAGACGGGCAGAACCCTGGACACGGTCATGCCGGACGCGCTTTCAGCTCACGATACATGTGCTTCCGGCTGTGGAGGATGCCCCCCAAAACCAACAATAGAGGGGTGTGAAAACTTGGTACGCTTGTACTTACGTTTGTGGTCGTACCATTCATGATATACCGTCTTGTTTCCTAGTCCTATAGACCTAATACAAGCCCTCAGCTCGAACGGGTTGGTGCCGGACCTTGCCTGCAGGCTTTGTAAGGTACAAGCCATGCCAGATATCAAGCCCCGGCTGGTGGTTTCGGCTTTCTGATTGATTCATGCGTATTGTTAAGGCGGGGTTGAGAGTGTGGTGGTTTAGGTTTGTTGATCCTTCTCTCGAGACGTTCATTCGATGTTTCTGCGGCCCAAGCAGCAGCAGAGCAAGCAGAGAACGGCGACGACAGCATCCGACATCTTAATCCACTCGCACCCCCTATCCCCCGTACTCGTCAAGCGGATGCAAGCCCGACTGACAGAATCCAACACCCCGATGCAGTCTTCGCTGAAACACTGAAATAGCGCCCCCACCTTAAACCCCTCAACCCCTAAACCCTAAACCCTAAATCCTTAAAACCTAAGCCCCTAAACCCCCAAACCCGGAGCCCTCAGAGTTCCAGAAGCCCACTGAGCCGTCGGGCCTGTATGGTCGTGTCTTCTCGAGGCCAGGTAATTAGGGTGAAGCCGGCACTTTGGGGTTCTCTCCGCCATACTGGCCGGTCATTGTTCCGCTTTTGACTCGCTTTTCCTTATTTGCGATGATTCGGAGGTCGTGTGCTGGCTATCGTCATGACTCCTGACATGATGAGCAGAAGTTAGCAGAACTAGTGTATTGCTAGTGTCGCTGCCATTAGGTTACTAGTACTGCCTGTCTAAGTAGACCTAACTGGACATGCTAATTCTAACCTAAATCCTATCCCTGGAGAACTACCTGTCTCTAAACCCTCAATCATGGCATCCCGACGGATTAAATGTTTGCGTGGAGCAGCGCATTTTGTGCCCATGTAAAGTATACCGCTTGATTCCCAGGCACGCGACTTCGGCCACGCCATGGGCCGCGAACGGCGAAAAGAGCGCAAGACGAAGAAGGCACAGTGACCCCGGCTCAGACATTATGCAATAGGGTTTAGGGTTCAGGGTTTTGGGTCAACACTAGTAGATTGCAAGCAAAACATGGGGTAGTACTAGCATTCGCAACAACAATACCGGTAATGATACCAGCTGCTATGAGTGCATGTTAACGGAAGCAGCAACCACCATGACTGATGTCCTCCCAACCATTACGGCTGATGTCTTCTCAAGAGCATTCGGAATTTTTTCGGTACCCTAGACCCAGGACTGACATGTTGCTGGTGCCGAGGGGGGATGGCATGACTATTGCTGGGAAGTGCTCCTTTTACTGAATCAGAGGCAAGATGTCGTAGTAGTTTTACTTACTAGTGGTAAGAGCAGCAGGTGTTTGATCTTCTTCTTGTTGTCGCACTTGCAGCAGCAGTCGCAGCGGCAGTAGAATGAGAAGCTGCATTTCACTATAGTCGCTTAGTGGTACGACTTAATGTAGAAGCCTGAAGAAGTAGCGATGCTATTCCGTAGGGTTCCTTACTACAAGTATACTACAAACGCTTCGCGTGGTCCACCTCGGCCAGAAAGGGATGGAAAAGGATGGCGGGTTGGGACGGAGAGGTCAAGCACGGGTGTCAGGGTCGAAGGGGTTGCCCACGAATACGCGAAATCCTGTGGAAGGCATGAACGTGAGCCGAGGCGAATATCTCTTCGGGTGTTTTTGACCAATCCTGGACGACCCACCATGCGTGAGCCAACCAAAGAAAAGCAGCGGACCTAAACCAATCCCCGCAGTTTCCCCGATCCCCTATAGTAAATCCAATACCCTAAAGGCCCCAAACCAACTACCCGTTGATATTGGAGGAGCTTAATGTGGCGGTCGGTTTAATAGTGGGGTACCCCCCCCCCCCCCCCCCCGACCAAAAAGTTTTGGTCTCTTTAATTTGGAACCGGTAGCCCCGGACAGGGGTCAGGGGTCGGTCTGAGTGGCAGGGAATTGGGAGGTGCCGGGGTTTGGAGGCTGGCTTGGGTGCAGGGTCTGCGGTTCTGCGCGACTGCGCGGTCGGGGGTCGGGGGGGTCTGGGCCAGCGCCTGAAACCCTAAACCCTGAACCCTAACCAATCCTAAACTCCTAGACCCTATAACAAACCCTAATTAAACCCTCAGCCCTAAACCGTTCCAAAGGGGGGTCGGTCCAGATTCGACCCAAAACTTAATTTTTTATACAAACTTTAGTACTGGAGAGGCCTCTTTTGAGCTAGGGTCCAATCCCCGATTCGGCGGTTCACCCTAGCAGCCCCCCCCAATAATCAAGGTATAGTAGAATAGTAGTACAGTAGTAGTACAGTAGTAGTATAATAATAGTGCAGTAGTACAATAGTAATACAACAGTAGTACAGTGGTAGTACAATAGTAGTACAGTAGTAGTACAATAATAGTACAGTAGTACAATAGTAGCACAATAGTAGTACAGTAGTAGTACAGTAGTAGTACGATCATAGTACCGTAGTACAATAATAGTACAGTAGTAGTACAGTAGTAGTACAAGTAATAGTGCAGTAGTACAATAGTAATACAACAGTAGTACAGGGGTAGTACAATAGTAGTACAGTAGTAGTACGATAACAGTACAGTAGTACAATAGTAGTACAGTAATCGTACAGTAGTAGTACAATAGTAGTACAGTAGTACACTAGTAGTACAGTAGTAGTACCACAGTAGTACAGTAGTACAGTAGTAATACAGTAATAGTACAGAAATAGTACCAATAAGCAAAGCATAAAGCCAGTGAGTACATTCCCCCCAATAAGCAAAGCATAAAGCCAGCGCCTGAAACCCTAAACCCCGAACCCTAAACCCTAAAGAATCCTACACTCCTAAACCCTATAACAAACCCTGAACCCTAAGCCCTAAACCCTTCCAAAGGGGGGTCGGTCCAGATTCGACCCAAAACTTAATTTTTTATACAAACTTTAGTACTGGAGAGGCCTCTTTTGAGCTAGGGTCCAATCCCCGATTCGGCGGTTCACCCTAGCAGCCCCCCAGCCCCCCCAAGGGTTGGGTGGGGGTTTGGGTGGGGGTTTAGGTCGTGGCTGCCTTAAGATTGACCATCAGCAAATAGCACAGCCCCGCCACCAAAAAATCACCCCAGCCAAAAAAAACGCATTAATTAGAACACCCCAAATTTTTTGTCAGATTCGGAATTAGCCCCGGAGCCGACGCATTAAAAGAGCCCATATTCCTAAACCGACCCCCACATTAGGAGCCAGGGATGATGATAATCCCTTTTAAATAAGGAGTGAAAGAGCCAAGGGAGCCCCAAAACCACTGGTTAGCCAATATGTCATCATAAACCCCACAAGCCGCAGGCGAAGGGCAAAGACAGGAAGGCCGGGGACTGAAGGGTCTGTAAGCGCCTATTAACAATAATGACAGCAATCATCATAATATCAATAATCGTAATAATAACAATAATATAGTCAGAGTAACAACATCTTCACATATATAATGGAAATAAGAATCGGATCCCCTCTAGAACTGACTTTAAACTTGTTTGAGTGAACTCAGCAACAAGGTCTGCGCCCAACCCTGAAAGCCTACACACCCCCTAGGGCGACTCCCAGTGGCCAGATAGTACATACTTTGGGCCCAATGTACCTATATACACTATATGGAGTACTTTAAAGCGAAAGTACATACTGTTTGGGTACATGGACCTTTAAGCCCTAAACCCTATAAAACCCTTCTGGTACCCATAAAGGAACCCTTAGAGGAACCTATTCGGGCACATGGACCCTCAGGGGATTAGAGAGGCTTCAGCAGCTGAAGCCTTGAGCCCAGACCCCGAACCCTGAGCTCACAACATACAGGACCCTGGTACTTTACAACATGGAGGACCCTCGTGTTTAGGATTTCGGGGTTCAGGGTTTATTAGGGTTCAGAGTAGTACCATTGAGCCCAGATAGTCGATTTTGGGTCGGGTTCGGCGCTGTAGGCCCGTTTCTGAAGCTCCGCCCGACTGACTTTCAAGTAGCGAGTTCCGGATGTCAAGTGTGCCATTGCCGTCGGGCTCTCTGGCCTAGACTTTCTGCGATTCTCGCCACACTTCCCGATGTCCAAATCCCAAAGTCCCATTCATGTTCATGCACCTCAGAGTCATAGTCATACACCAGCAAAATTAAACCCTCAAGCTTACCTGTCTCAACTGGTCTCAAGCTGAATGGCGAGACCATTTTGGAATCGTCAAGCCCTTGAGCTGAAAAGTATGAATCACCGGCTGCTGATAGGGCCGGCGCGGCCGAGGGCGACGGGGCAAGAGTGCCCCTCCGCTTGACTTTATGCAAGTCAGCTTTTCTGGAGGGGAGGGGGTGAGTTTAGGATTTAGAATCTTGGGCCTTGTGTGCAAATAGCATCCTCCAAAGTGGGGGGTGCATTCCAGTCGGGGATTCCTTTGTTGTGTTGTAAGTTTTTAGGGGTTTGAGCTTTTAAATACAGTATGCCTGGAAGGAGGGGAAAGCATGTGTCTATGTATACATATATATATATGTATATACACGTATGTATTTATTGTTTGTTTCTCTCTTTATCATAATATGCATTTACTTCTTTCTGGTTTATGCGTACATACACACATGCACACAGACACTCCTACATACATGCGTACATACATACATGCATACATACATGCATACATACATACATACATACAGACAAACACATACATACAAACATACATACATACACAAGCACATGCGTACATATTTATATATACATATAATTTGTGTCATGAGGTTGAGCTTGTAGGGCTTATGGCCTTGCGATTAGGGTTTCAGGTTGCATGTTTCAGGGTTTGTGATGTGGGTTTACCCCTCAACCCTAAAGATAAGGCATCTGGATTAGATACACGCCGCATTTTTCAGTTGAGGGTATGAAAGTGTG